GATTTTAAAAATTAAGAGAGGTAGAAGAAAAATGGGGGAAAGAAATGAGAGTGATGCAAGAAAATTATGAAAAGAGAGTCAACAGCTTGGTGCCAGAGGCAAAAAAAAAAAAAGTTGAAGAAGATAACACCTTAAAAAGCAGAATTGACCAAATGGCAAAGATCACAAAAATCCACTGAAGAAAACTGCTTTTAAAAACAATTGGCCACATGTAGAGATAACAAAAATTCATTTAAGAAAAGAACTCCTCAAGAAGTAGAATTGGTGAGGTCACTCTTACTCTCCCTTATTAACCTCTGAAAGCCTAGAAAATATTGCCCCAGGAAAAACCCTGGAACAGCTGAACCAGAAGAAAGATGGGGAGCAGCAGTCCAGTAGCCCAGGTAGCTTGAGGGATTAACGGAAAAGGGCCCTCTTGTGCTGGGGGAAGGGGAGCAGTACAGTACGGGAGGCATCCCAGCAAGCTAGAGGAAAGCCCCACCTCAGCATACCAGGAGGAGATCCTGAAACCCAGGTGGTGGAACAGGCAAACACCAACACCAGGACCTCTGAGTGCCTCACTGAGGGCGGGGGGAGCTGGTGGAAACCAGCTTGGAAAACCACTAGGTGCCTTGGCATTGTATAGCAACCAGCTCTCCCAGCACTTCAGCAAAACTAAGGGAAGCAGCTTCAAGGGTTCCCAGGCAGATAAACATCCTGCAACATCCATCTGAAAGGAGCTGAAGAAAGTGAAAGGAAGGAAAGGCCTGGGTGAGTAGGAAATCTCCAGGAGCCACACTACCCAATCCTACTCCTAGAGTTGCAGTGTTCCTTATTCTAGCCCAACACCAGGTAAGCAGCCAGAACCCTACAGCCTCCACAACTGCCAGCATTGGAGGCCCCAGCACACAAAGCCAATGACCAGGCTCTAGGCTCCCAACACAAGAAGCTTGGATCAGTGCCCTCTGCTCCCCAGCAGGAGAGCTCAATCTCTTTAAAGGCCAGGAAATAAGCAAACACCATGAGGAAAAAGAAACGTATGATCGATTCTTATTATGGAAAGAGTGAAGATCAAGGCAGAAATTCTGAAGAGGACAACACTGTCAACAAACCCACATCTGGAACCTCAAAAGGGAATATGAACTGGTCTGAAGTCCAAGAAGCCTTCTTAGAAGAGCTCAAGAAGGATTTTTAAAAGTCAAATGAGAGAGGTAGAAGAAAAAATGGGAAAAGAAACAAGAGATATGCAAGAGAGAGTCAATAGCTTGGAAAAGGAAGGACAAAAATTAACTGTAGAAAACAAGTCCTTAAAAAATATAGTTGGCCAACTGGGAAAAATGTTCACTGAAGAAAACAATTTATTAAAAAATTAGAATTGGGCAAATGGAAGCTAATGACTCTATGAGACAGCAAGAATCAGTCAAACAAAAAACAAAAGAATGAAAAAATAGATGAAAATGTAAAATACCTCATTGGTAAAACAGCTGACTTAGAAAATCAATCCAGGAGAGACAATTTAAAAATTATTGGTCTACCTGAAAGTCACAATGAAGAAAAGAGCCTGGACAGTATCTTTAAGGAAATCATAAAGGAAAACTTCCCTGAGGTCCTAGAACCATGGGGTAAAATAGCCATAGAAAGAATCCATCTATCACCTCCTGAAAGAGATCCCAAATTAAAAACACCAAGGATCATAGTAGCCAAATTCCAGAATTACCAGGTCAAAGAGAAAATACTGCAAGCAGCCAGAAAGAAACAACTTAAATATCATAGAATCATAGTCAGAACTATGTATGACCTTGCAGCCTCTACATTAAAAGACCATAGGACATGGAATATGATGTTCTGTCAGGTAAAGGAGCTTGGATTACATCCAAGGATCAACTACCCAGCGAAAATGAGCATGATCTTTCAGGGGGAGGAGACAAACCCAGGAGCTATATGAACACAATTACAAAATACTTCATAAAAATAAGGTCAGATCTAAACAGTTGGAGAAATATTAATTGTTCATGGGTTAGCCAAGCCAGTATAATAAAATAGACAATTAATTTACTTATTTAGTGCCATTCTAATCTAACTACCAAAAGATTATTTTATAGAGCTAGGAAAAATAATAACAATTCATCTGGAAGAACAAAAGGTCAAGAATAGCAAGGGAACCAATGGAAAAAAAGTGAGGGAACATGGTTCAGTTAATTGTACCATTTAAATAGTCTGGTACTGGCAAAGAAATAGAGTGGTGGACCAGTAGAATAGGATAGATACACAATACACAGTAAATAGCTATAGTAATCTAGTGCTAAGATTATAAGGAAAGCAGACAACTGGGGAATAAATTTTGTAGCAAGTTTCTCTGATAATGATCTCATTTCTCAAAAATATAGGGAACTAAATCAAATCTATAAAAATGCAACTCAGTCCCCAGTTAATAAATGTTCAAAGGTTCTGAACAAGTAGTTTTCAGAAGAAATCAGAACTATCTATAGTCATATGAAAAAATTATCTAAATCACTATTGATTAGAGAAATGCACATTAAAACAACTGTGAGGTACTACCTCATACTTGTCAGAGTGGCTAATATGACAGAAAAGGGAAATGACAAATGTTGAAGGAGATGTGGAAAAATTGGGACACTAATACACTATTGGTGGAGTTGTGAACTGATCCAACCATTCTGGAGAGCAATTTGGAACTATGCCCAAAGGGCAATACTGTGCATACTGTTTGACCCAGCAGTACCACTACCAGGTCTGTATCCCAGAGAGATTTAAAATAAAAAGGAAAAGAACCTATTTATACAAAAATATTTATAGCAACTTTTTGTGGTGGCAAAGAATTGGAAATTGGGAGGATGCCCATCAGTTGGGGAATGGCTAAACAAGTTGTGGTCTGTGATTGTGATGGAATACTACTGTGCCATAAGAAATGATGAGCAGGGTCCTTTCAGAAAAACCTGGAAAGTCTTATATGAACTGGTGCAAATTGAAGTGAGCAGAGCTAGGGGAATATTGTACACAGTAATAGCAACATTACATGATGATCAATTGCGAATGATTTAGCTATTCTCAGCAATACAGTGATGCAAGACAATTCTGTAGGGCTTATGATGAAAAATACTATCCACTTCAGAGTCTGAATGCAAATCAAAGCATACTTTTTAATTATTCTTTGTTGGGTTTTTTTTTGTGTCTGTGTTTTCTTTTGGAATGTGGTCAGTAGGGAAATATTTTGTGTGACTGCACATATATAATCTAAATTTCTTGCCTTCTCAAGGGAAGGAGGGTGGGAGAGAATTTAGAACTCAGCAATTTTTTTAAAATGTTAAAAATTGTTTTTATGTGTTCTTGGAAAAAATTAAATTAAAAAATTTGAAAACATTCATAATTTAGTGTAGTAACAATTCTAATTCAACAGAGAAAGAGAATAGGAATATAAAAGGGGAGTGTAATTAAGGGGGGGAGTTAGTGTAGAAATACTTCAAACTCAGCAGGAAGAAAGATTGGGAAAGGAAAGGAGGGTAGATAGTTAAGAAAGGACAATACTGGGGAGTGAATAGTCACCAAGAAAAGAAACTTCAGCTGGTTCAGGGGGGACTAAAAGGAAAAGAAAAGAACTGGAAGGTGAAGGAATGTCCCTCAATTGGGGAATGGCTAAACAAATTAGGGTCTATAAATATATTGCACTGTAAGAAAATGTATTTTCAGGGAATCTTGGGAAAACTTGTGTGAAATGAAGCAGAGCAAAGTGGATGACAACAGAATTGTAAAGAAAAGTAACTTTGAAAAATCTATAAACTCAGACAATAACAAGGATGAACCATGACTCCAGAAGACCTACAATAAAACATGTACCCACCTTCTTGCACAGAGATGAAATCAAAGTGAAAGACATATGTATTGATATACATTTGTATTACGTATATACATATATGTATGTGTATAGCAACTGTTTAACTCTGCTTGTTTGTTACAAGGGGCTTTTGTGTGTTTGTAATGGGGAGAGGTAGTTAGCAATGGTAATGTAAAAACAAAAAGAAAGCATTAAAAATTATTGAAACTTTCTTAATGCAGACAAATTCAGAAGGAAGTACAGACAAAGCAGGGCAGTTTTGAAAATAACATGTTAAATATATTCCATAATTTTTTTAAAGGAGGTTGTGTGGAATAGATTGTTTCATATACAAGCCTTTTTATATTCTACTTTTTTTATGGAAATGCTCAACTTTTTGGGGTTTCAAGTTTTCAGAATAAAAAAATAAAGATTAACTGTTAAATATGAACACACAACAGGTAGTTCCTGGATCCTACGGAAGATTTACATTACTTTAAATGGCACTGTGAGATCACCAGCAGTGTATTCTTGGGTCGTAGACAGTCAACCCCTGTTTGTATTATATTCATTGTAGTGTAGTTTGTCACACCTAGGCTTATGTAGGCAGTGGAGCATCTGCACCCTATCTTTATGGTTGGTAGACAGGATTGGCGTGACCAAAAGTTGAGTCATTGGTTATCAGAAATGCTTTGGCTACACACTGGAATGAGTCATGAGTTAATGCAACATAGCTGTAAGCTAATGAGAAATTGAAATAGCACCTGAAGGATAGAGTTGGCTTGTAAGACTTGAGAAGAGTGATTTTTTTTTTTTAGGTAAAACGTGTAGCAAACTGAGTACAGGAAGCAGAGGTACAGCATTATTAGGTTTTGCAGGCACTAACCAAAGGACAGACTACTTTGTGAGTGATGTGAGACTAATTTCATCTTTCTAGACTTGCTGAAAATAGCAATCATTTATCTTAAAAGCATAATCTTAAAGGACAAAATTCAGTGACATCAGCTGAAGGAGACAAAAGCCATTAAAATTTTGCCATTATTTTGCAAAGTCAAAGAAAAGTTATGGCTTCAGTTACTTAGAAAATCAGAGTAGTGGTACAAATTAAGCCTACAAGACATGTTTGTTTCTAATAGCCAATTCAGCATGCACATGCTAACCTTAATTTTTCTTTATATTGTTGTAACAGAACAACCCCACAAAAGGAAGAAGACTTTGCAATCCATTGAAATTGAAGATCGGATAGAATCTTTGATATGCAGAGTAGGAGAAAAGGTACGAGTTATCTTAGATCAGTGTCAAGGTTTTTCTAGTGACCATATATTGAATAATCTGAATCTTAAGAGCTTGATCATTATATGCCTGCATTTCTTAGATAAAGCTGTGGTAGCATCATGTCTTTTTAAATCTATTATTAAGTACTGTTTTTGCAAAGATTGTTTTACATATTGAAATGCCTTATCTTGGATGCACATAAAAGAGAGTTAACTACATTCATTGGTTTGTTTGTTTTATTTTTGTTTGTTGTTGCTGTTCTTAGTTAAAAAGCATTCTGATAAAGGGAGAGAATTTGGAACCCAAAGTTTTAAAAACAAATGTTAAAAATTGTTTTTACATGCAACTGGGAAATAAGATGTATAGGCAATGGGCTATAGAAATCTATTCTGACCTACAGGAAAGTAGAAGGGGAGGTGGATGGGGGGGGTGATAGAAGGGAGGGCAGATTACATGAAGGGGTTGGGGGGAGGGGAGAGATGGGGAGAAAATGTGCAGCTCAAAATCTTGTGGAAGTGAATGTTGAAAACTAAAAAAAAATTAATAATACTAAAAAAAATCAGCTATTATGTACAAAGCACTGCACAAAATGCTTACAGTTACAAAGCCAAATAAGCTATAGTACCTGTCATCGCAGAATTTATAATCTGGTAGGGTGGAATAGAACATAAACAAATAAGCAATAATTGTGTCGTATATAATAACACTAAGAGAATAGAATATGGTAAAAAGGGTAAGAGAGGTACAGAGTTCACTCAAGCAAACAAGGCGTCACTGAAGAAGGACTTTGGTACAGGGCTATTAAAGGATGGAGAGGATTTTAACTAGCAGAGGTGGATGGAGAGAGGAAAGGTAGCCAAATGTAGGTAACAGTATGAGTTAAGAATGAAGGTACTGCCTTATATGGGGGACGACAAGTAGTACAACTGGAACATAACATTTATGGAGAAGAAGAATGTGAGATAAAGCAGGAAAATTAGGGAGGTACCAGATTGTCAAGTGCCTTGAATTCCGAGTTAGTAGGCAACAATTCAGTAGGCAACAGAGAGCCATTAAAGAGTTTTCATCACCAAAGAGCTTAATCAGATTTTTTTTTCTTCTGGAAAGTTCTTCCTGTAGTTGTGTGAAGAATGGTTAGAAATGGGAAAAACTGGAAGTCAAGAAATAAGTTAGATGTCTTTTGCAATATTCAGGGCTGGTGGTAATAAAAGCCTACACTGAGGTGAGGACAGTTGGAATAGAAAGGAAGAAATGGATGTGAAAGTTGTTGCAGAGGTAAATATAAGTGATCAAGAATGAAGAACATAGAATAACAAGTTTTGAATGTGGTGTAATGAATAATTAAGAAGGTCATTAAATATTGTCTAAAATTATACTACTAGTGAATGTCCAAGCCAAGATTTCCAAGTTTATTATTTTTCTGCCTTTCATTACTGCCTCTTCTCTGTTGTTGTCTATGGTTCCGCCAATTCATTTGTTGCTAAAGAGCAAGGACTGTCTTTCTTTACATTTAGCCTGCTGTGCTACTCTGTACTTTGAAAAATGTTTCATGATTATTGTGAAGAAATAATTAACATTGATTTACTAAATGGAATTATATGAAAAACAGTGCTTAAAATGTCCATATCCTTTCACCCAGATATTCCAGTGCTAGTTATACACTTCAGGAATGTTAGTGTTAAAAAGAAAGCCTCCATATACACCCAGGTATTTATAGTGACATTTTTTGTAGTAGCCAAGAACTGGAAACAAAGTAGACTCTCATCAATTGGAGTTTATGCCTAAACAAGCTGTGGTACATGAATGTAATAGGATATTATTTTGCTGTAAGAGATGATAAATATGATAAAGTCACAGACACATGGGAAGACATACAAATTAGTACAAAGTTAAGTACAAGCAGGAAAACATTATGTAACAGTAATAGAAATGGAAATAATGATAACAGAAGAGTTAAAACTAAATGCTATAAAATTATAATAACCAAGTTTGGCCCCAAAGAAGAGATACGAGATGATATCTTCTGTTTTTAGGGAAGTGGGTGATGGGTGCAGAACATTGTAGATAATGTCAGACTTTGTCAATATTTTTATTTTGGGAGGCACTAGAATTTGTTGTTTGGGGGTTTTTTTTCCCTTTGTTCTAAGAAGATGGCTTTCCAGGAGAAAGAAGGAATGGGATACATTGGAAATGTTGATAATATAAAAACAAATGTCAATGAATAGTTATTTTTGAAAGTTGATTTATCCCTGAGGGGTAATGCTATCTTTCCTTAACATAAGTTTACTTTGGTCTCTGTTTAGAGTACCTTCTCATTGGAAAGCAACCTGGAAGGCTTAGCTGGTGTTTTGGAGGCTGATCTTCCTAACTACAAGAGCAAGATTCTAAGAATTCTTTGTACAGTGTATGTATGCAAAGGATATATGGTTTTGAATAATAGTAATAATATTTTACCTACCATGAAGATGCTTTTAAAGCACTTTTGTAATTTATGGTTAACTTTCCATAATATTTTAGTTGTAAAATGTGGAGCATGTTTTATTAAAAACAAAATTATAATTTTTTTGAGTATAAAGTATAAAAATCTTATAAGCCAAAACTTCTTTTCAGAGAGTTTTTTGAAACACTTTAGAATTAATTTCTTACATTTTATGTATGTCAGATCATGAATATGAACATATGTTTACTTTTTAACTTCAGTGCGCGTCTGTTTCCTTTGAAATTGACGGTTTATACAACATTAGTTGGACTACTTAATGCCCGAAATTACAACTTTGGTGGGGAATTTGTGGAAGCCATGATTCGTCAACTTAAAGAATCTTTGAAAGCAAACAACTATGATGAAGCTGTGATTTTGGTAAGTCTGGTTTTGGTTTGGTTTGGTTATATCTTTTTCAGAGTTTGGGTGGTAGAGGAGGGTGGCTGAGAAGTATAGGTAGAAAGGTGGTTTTTATTCTTTTAATTTTATTTTTTTCACTTATCCTTCATTTCATATTAAACCTCACATTTGTCATGGTTAAATATTTCCTTTGACAGTTGTAATGAATAGCTTTACCCTAGAAGCATTATTGCAGTTCCCTAAACAAATTAAGAACCTTCTCTTAAACGTAATTTCAGAGGAATTGTAGAGAAGAGATTCTGCCTTATAATTGAAGTTATTTTCTTCATTAATTGAAATATACCTAGAAAATATTGCAAGCCTGTGCTTTCTCTTAAGCCTCCTGGAAAATCTAATCTTTTTAATGGGAAGTTACTCTGATGGATCTGAGATCACATCTATGTGGATATTCCCAGTGTTGTAAGTTAAAATTTGTCCATGTCTTCTCATCCTATCTGAGAGACTCCATTTTGAACAGAGGCCCTTTGATGTCCTTTTTAGTCCAGCCCCATACAGATGAAGAAACTTAGATCCAGAATGTTTAAGTAATTTGCCCAGGATTACATATGTGGTAAGTTGGCAGATCCACTTTGGATTTGAGCTTCAAATCCAGTATCTTTCTAATTCCTCATACTATCTTTTGTCCAGGTCTTCCTTCAGAGGTTGTGCATCCAACATGCTGAACAATTGTTTTTGTTATTCAAAATTTATTTTTATATGACTTTGTAATGTTTTTCCCAGTCCACTCTCTCTTATTTCCCCCTCCCTTCCTCTTTCTCCCCTAATTCAGCAACAACGACAACAAAACATTGTGAATGTGCATAGATCACCAAACAATTCTGACACTGGCCATGACTCAGAATGTGTCTCTCTTTATTTAAGTTCATCACTGGCAGGAGATGAGTGGTGTACTTCATCTTAAGTGTGCTTGTCTTATGGTTTATCATTAAATTGATTGGTGTTGTAAAATTGTTCAGACTTGTTTCTCTCTATAATATTGTTATCAGTGTGTAAATTGTTCTCCTTGTTTGCTCACTTTGCTTTTCATGAGTTCATAGATGTTTTCCTAATTTCCCTTAAAAGCATCCATTTTGTAATTTCTTATGGCATAATAATATTCCATTATATTAATACACCACAGTTTATTTAGATATATAACTGATAAGAAGACACCCCTTTGGTTTCTAGTTTTGGGCTACCATGAAAAGAACAGCTATAAACATTTTTGTACATATTGGTACTTTTCCTCTTTCTTTAATCTCATGAGGTTTAGACTTGGTAATGGTATAGCCACATCAAATAGTAGACACAATTCAGTAACTTTGGGGACTTTTGAACTTAAAGATTGTGTTCCACAATAGCTGGACCAGTTTATTGCTCCACTAGTGTGCCTGTTTTGTTGTGGTTCTTCCAACAGTTGTCATTTTCCTCTTTGCCAGTCTTATGATTGTGAGGTAGAATCTTAAAGTTGCTTAAGTTTGCATTTCTCTAATTATTAATGATTTAGAGCTTTTTTCATATGGTTGTTGATAGTTTGAATTTACTGCTTTCAGAGCTACTGTTCAAATTCTTTGACCGTTAATCTGTTGTGGAATGGTTCTTAAGTCTTATAAATTTGGATCACTTCCATTTATATCTTGGCTATGAAACCTTTATCAGAGAAACAGGCTACCAAGGTTTTTCCCATTTACCAGTTTTCTTTCTGATTTTTTAACTCCATTAAATATGAGTATGTGGGGCAGCTAGGTGGTACAGTGAATAGAGCTCTGTCCTTGGAGTCATGAGGACCTGAGTTCAAATCCAGCCTCATACACTTAACGTTTACTAGCTGTGTGGCCCTGGGCAAGTCACTTAACCTCAATCACTTCACCAAAAAGCAAAAAAAAGAAATAATGAGTGTGCAAGAACTTTTAAATTTTATGTAATCAAAATTGTCCATTTTATCTTGTGTAATCCTCTCTGTCACTTGTTTATATCTTGTGTAATCCTCTCTGTCACTTGTTTAATCATGAACTCTTCCCTTATTTATATTTCTGTAAAATAATTTCTTTCTTGTCTGATTCATGATATGATCTTTTATATTTAGGCCACATATCCATTTGGACCTTATCTTGGTATAAGGTGTGATGTGTTGGTCTAGATTTCTGCTAGACTGCTAATGTTTGTCAGATAAGGAGCTCTTTTCCCAATGTCTTTGGGATTATCAGATGTGCTATGCTGCTTTGTTTGTTTGCTTGTTTGTTATGTAAATAGTATGTTTCACCAAATGATTACTTCTTTGTACTTTAGTTTGAGATCTTATACCGATAGACTATTCCTTACTTCCCTTTTTTTGTTTTGTTTTGCTTTACATTATTACTCTTGAGATTCTTTACCTTTTGTTCCTCCATGGGATCTTATTATTTTTTCTAACTCTGTAAAATATTTCTTTGGTAGTTTGGTGCAGCACTGTATAAGTAAATTAGATATTACAATTTTTATTATAATTGCTTCAGCTACATATAAGCAATTAATATTTCTATACTTATTTAGGTCTGTCTTTACATAGTTTTTTAGTGTTGGATTCATAATTCTTGGGTGCATTTTGAAAGATAGACTCACAAGTATTTCAGAGTTTCTATAATTATTTTGAACGGAATTTAATTTTGTAGCTCTTCCTGCTTGATTTTGTTGGTTCCTGATGGTTTATATGGATTTATTTTGTATCCTACAATGTTGCTGAACTTACTGTTTCAGTTGCTTTTTGCCTAGGGTTTTCTAAGTAAATCACATAATCTGCAAAAAGTGTTTACTCTTTGCTTATGCTGACTCCTTCGATTTCTTTTTCTAGTCTTTATTACTACAGATAGCATTTCTAACACCAATTTAAATAGTAGTGGTCATAGGCATACTTGTTGATCTTATTGGAAAGGCCTGTAGCTTTTCTTCTTTGCATATGTTTGATTGGATTTAGATAGATTTTATTTGCTATAGTAAGGAAAAGTGTTATCTTTTATAGCATTTTTAAGAGGCAAGTGCTCATTTTGTCAAAAATCCTTTTCAACATCTGTTGACGTAATCATATGCTTTTTATAATATTATTAACAGGATTTGTTATATTTTTAGTCTTCTTTATATTGAACCAACTATGTATTCCTGGCATAAACCCAATGAGATCATATTGTATAATCTTTCTAATATATTGTTGTAGACTATTTGCATTTAATATATACATGTATATTATTTGCCTGGCAGGTCCATTTTTTATCAGATTTGGTGAATTGTCATGTAATAGCTGCTCCATCAATGGTAGCTATGTTTGAAAATTTTGTAAGTGTAACTCAGGAAGAAGACGTACCTCAGGTAAGAGGAGTACTTAATACTTCAACATTATAAAACTTTCCTTATATTCTCATTGCCTTTTCACGGCAAACCATAGTAGATAGAAAAAGTGCTTGAATTGGAGTCATACAAAGTGGGTTTTAGCTGGGACGAGAATCCTATCTTCTGATTCCAAATCAAATTCTGTTCTGTCATAGCAGGAATGTTTATAATATGCTGAAGTTTTCTCCTGTGTATCTTAATTATTGAATATTATCCTACTGTGTAGAAAAATAACTTATGTTTTCTTATTTTTGTATTTATGTTTTCCTCTAAGTGCTGTATTAGTTTCTTGAGAAGCAACAACTGTTTTGTTGTCTTTGTCTTCCTGCCATGTGGCACATAATAAATTCTTTTTCAAATGAATTGAAGTTGGGAAATCTTTATGTATTTTAGAGCTTTATTTAAATGAGAAATCAAAAATGTACAACTGGTGTGTCCAAAAATCCTCTTTTTGGCCACATTACCTTCTTGGGCCCTATGCAGTCTCCATTTGGGATTCTTTTACAAGAAAAATGAAAAGGAAATTTTAGAAGTGCCTTGTGAAACACTTTTTTTCTTTACTGTAGGTACGACGTGATTGGTATGTGTTTGCATTTCTGTCATCTTTGCCCTGGGTTGGAAAGGAGTTATATGAAAAAAAAGATGCAGAGATGGATCGCATCTTTTCCACTGTTGAAAACTATCTTAAGTAAGAATCCAGCCAAGACTAGTCTTTCTTGTTAAGGAGAAAGGTTTTTGTTTTGTTTTTGTTTTTGTTTGTTTTTGCTAATTTTCTGATGTGATGTGCTACTATTTTAATTTAATATCCTTTTATTTTACAATTTGTTTGGTTTCCCAAAAGTAGTAGGGGTTCAGTTTTCTAAAAAAAGCACAAAGTAGACAAAGAGCTGCCTTCTCACTCATTTTGGAAATGCCTTACTAGTGTGAAAGTGATTTTAACTAGAAATTTTCATTTTTCCAAGCATTTTTTTAAAAAACTTTGCCTTTTTTATCTTCTCACATCTTCCACGAAAGCACAGAATATTAAAACATTTGCACTGGAGGACACCTAGTCCATCCTTTTTTCACAGATAAATAAACTCAAGCCCAGAAATATGAAATGAGTTACCCAAAGTCACACAGTAGCAAGTGGCAGAGCTAGCACTTAAGCCCACATTTATGGTCCATGTTCAGTGATCTTTCAAGGTTGACTTTCTTAAGGTTATATCTTGACCTGTGTCTTTTTAATCCTCACCAAAGCATAAATAACTGATTTAGTTCCTTAGATCTCTAAATTGTAGGCTGAGACCTGAAATTGTAGGCTTCCCTAGGGAAAATTATTGCTGTGGGTTAGGCTTTCCCATTTTTCTTTTTAAAACTATAACATTAAATTCATGGCCCCGGGGGGAAGAAAGTGGAGCATTTATGTTATTCTGCATTCTGTACTTCCTTTTGAGATGGTGAGTGGAGTGGAAAGATTGGGAGGAATTGAGGAAGTAAGAAGCACCTATAAGGTTCTTCAGAGTTCTGTTCAGCAGTGACACAAATGGTGTAAATAAGTATCAACTATGTATAAGATCTTTCTAGGGGATGCAAAAATAAATAAGATAAAACCTGAAGAACACTGGATTCAAAACCTTGGGATGAATCTATAGCTTGGTTACTCTGGAAGCCCCTGGCTAATGACAGATAGTGGAAGCAGTAATAGAATTGGATAAAATGCTGGAGGCTTGGGACCAGCTTGATTCTAGGCAGGAGTAAGCTTGGCCCAAGACTATACAGGAACGTGGTGGTGAAGGGACGTACAACTTCCCTTTTTTCTTTTTCCTCTCAGAGCCATCCCTCCCAAAGTGCTTGGTCTAAGCCAAATAAAAGTCATACTAGTTTGTTTATTATGAAGTATTTCTTTATATTTAATTACCAGGAAGGAAAATAACAATTATACTGAACTTTCAGTTGGTTTGAAATTTAACTTTGTTTTATTTAATTTTGGCATTAAATTCTGTGTATGGCTAGTTGGCTATTGCATAGTATGATTGCTAATAAGCTTAAAATATTCATATCTTTGATGATCTTAGAAGGATTGCTTGTTCTTAAATTGCTTGTTTAATATTTTCTGGTACTGGTAGCCATGGACAAATTGTAATAGGTACTTTACCTTTTACCAAGATCTGGTCATTCTGCTAGAAGTAAGGTATTAAAACAAACACAAGAGTTTTGTGGAAGATTATGTTTCTTTGTTGATACTTAAGATAATATGTTAATTTTAATAATTATCCTTTTTTTGTTTGTGTTTTTAGAAGACGTCAAAAAACTCATGTTCCATTGTTACAAGTGTGGACTGCTGATAAACCACATCCACAAGAAGAGGTAAATTTAATATCATTCACTTTTTAATAAAAGAATAGTCAGCTAGGTGTTAGCTTTGTGTATTGGAAAAAGCGTTATGCTAGGATTCAGGATTTGATTTTGGTGCCAACGTTGCCACTTAACAGCAGTGTGAGCTTTGGCAAGTCACTGAAGTTTTGAACCATTTCTAAAATGAGGGAGTCAGAGTAGATGATCTCTAAGATCGCTTCCAATCAGGCAATCTTTAGCATGATGTATTTGATAGAATGCTATCTTGCATTCAAGATAACTTGTTTTGAATCCTACCTCTGATCCTGTTTCCTCATCTATAAAAATGTGAATTGTTAGTGCCTTTCAGGATTGTTGTAAGACTAAAATTAGATTATTAGGTTAAAATTATATTATAAAAAGTAATACCTCCTTTAGACCAACTCCAGAAATCCTTTAGCTTAAATTAAAATTTTAAATTATAGAGGAGTTGCAATTTTTGTCAATGTAGGGAGTTCCCACGTCAGTGAAATCCCAGACCCCTCCCCTGCCCCCAGTGACATAAGATTGCAAAGCCTCCATTGAAGGCCTTTCTCTTGCATGGTTATTTCTCAGTCTATGACTATAGCACAAGCTCTGATGAGCTTACCAAACTGGAAAGGCTTCAAAGTATGAGCAAGATGGTAAACTGCAGTTAGACCTTACCATCTCTTTGTATCCCCTTGACTGTTTTAGAACTAGAAAGGATCTCAAGCTTATTGCATTCCACCCCTCATTTACATAGGAGGAAGTTCTTAAATTGGCTTCACATTATGTATTGGGCCATGTCCAAATGCTAAGCTTAATGTCCAAGGCCCCCCATTAATGATGTGGAGTCATAGATCCTGAGAACTGGAAGGGATCTTAGAGATCGTTTCACTCCATTCACATTTTACACATGAGCAGATAGGCATCATTAGTGATTTGGATGTGGGCAGGTAGCTGTTGGCAGCCATACTTGCATGAAAATCTTGCTGTCAGGACTGTTTGTTCAGTGTACACTAGTCCAGAATCCATCTTGCTCACTAGAGGCATTTCTCATTGTTGCTTCAGAATACCCTCACTAAGCCAAACCATTTTCCTTCTTGCCATAGATAAGTCCTGTTCACTCCCATCTCCATATATTTTCATTGTTTTTCTTTCTCTCCATGTATGTACTTGAAGGCAGAGCTTTGAGGCAGCATGGTTCAGTTATGTCTACTGGAAATAGCGCCTCTGAGTTTTAGTCCCAGTTGTTATGTAGCTGTGTGACCTTGGGCAAGTCAACTTCTCTGGTCTCTTGGTTCTTCATGAAATGGGGTCGAAATCTGTTTTCCCTGCCTTACAGGGTCAGTATTAGGATCAAATGAGATAACATATCAATAGTATATATATTAAAGTTCTTTGTAAACCATAAAACATTATAGAAATATGGTGTTATTATTAATTCCCATCTCGATTCCTGCCTCTTTCATGACAAATTATAAAATCACCTGTCACTTAACGCACACATTGCTTTGTCTAGTTTTCTGAGTGTTTCATTTATGTCTTTTTTGTTTCCGAAAGAAACTGTAAGTTCCTCAATGGATGGAGTGGTGTGTTCTACATCTGTATACACCCTCAGGGTTCAGCCTAGTTATAGACATAGACACAATTGGAACACTAATTCATTTTTGGTGGAGTTGTGAACTAATCCATCCAGTCTGGAGAGCAATTTGGAACTATGCCCAAAAGGCTATAAAACTGTGCATACTCTTTGATCCAGCATTAGCACTACTAGGTCTGTATCCCAAAGAGATCATAAAAAAGGGAAAAGGACCCATATGTACAAAAATATGTAAAGCAGCTCTTTTTGTGGTGACAAAGAATTGGAAATTGAGGGGATACCCATCAATCAGGGAATGGCTGAACAAGTTATAGTATATGAATGTGATGGAATACTATTATTCCCTAAGAAATAATGAACAGGTGCATTTCAGAAAAACCTGGAAAGACTTACATGAACTGATGCTGAGTAAAGTGAGCAGAACCAGGAGAACATTGTACACAGTAACAGCAACGTTGTGCGATTACCAACTTTGATAGACTTAGCTCTTCTCAGCAATGCAATGATCTAAGACAATTCCAAAAGATTCATGATGGAAAATGCCATCCACATCCAGAGAAAGAACTATGGAGTCTGAATGCAGATCAAAGCACACTATTTTCTCTTTTTTTGTTTGCTTTTTCTTTCTCACGGTTTTTCCTTTTTGTTCTGATTCTTCTTTCACAACATGACTAATGTGTAGATTTGTTTAATACGATTGTACATGTATAGCCTATATCAGATTGCATGCTGTTTTGGGGGGAGGGGAAAATTTAGAACTCAGAATCTTAGAAAAGTGAATGTCGAAAACTAAAAATAAATTAATTTAAAAAAGAGGGGAAGAGGATAATATTATTATTATTATTGTTATTTTATTTTTGTTTTTTTTAGGCAATTGGGGTTAAGTGACTTGCCCAGGGTCACACAGCTAGTAAGTGTGAAGTGTTTGGTCTGAGGCTGGATTTGAACTCAGGTCCTCCTGATTTCAGGGCCGGTGCTCTATCCACTGCACCACTCACCTGCCCCGAAAGAGGGTAATCTTTTAAGGCTCTTTCCCACTGTAAATAGGAATTATGACCAGTTATTCTATAATTGACTGATAGAGGTCCAAGAAGTTGCCTTCAGTAATATGTTATTTCTTTTAGTACTTTAAGCCTTCTTATTTTGAGCTGTCCTTTCTGAGACTAGGAAAGGTGCCATAATTAAACAACCACAAGGAAAGCAAAAAAAAAAAAAAAAAGAAAAGAAGTAAACATTTTGCTATCCAGCAATTCATGTATAAGAGAATTTGCATTATAATTTAGATTTCAGTTAGTGAAACTAAAGAGTTTTTTGTGTGTAACTATTAAAATTGAGCCAAGTATAAGAAATAAATTACGTAAAAGGCATATTATCCAAACATCTTCATAGAGGTCCTGGGTTTTTTCAAAATGAATTTTTATTGATATATTTGGGGGTTAAAAAAATTCTTTTTACATCACCAGTTTTCCCTAGTATCCCTTTCCCTTCCACCTCCCAGAGAGTCATCTCATATTACAAATAACATTTTTTAAAGAAAAAGAGGGGGAAAAATTAGCAAAACTAATTAATCCTTTGAAAATGTCTGAAAATATGTGCAGTGTACCACACCCATGGACCTTCCTTCCACTTCTACAAAGGAATGGGATGGGGTATGTTCTCATATCTCTTCTTTGAAGCCCTGCCTGTTCTTCGTAATTTTGTAACATTCATTTTGATGATTTTGTGGTGGTTCTTTCTTTTCATATTACTGTATTACCTGGGGTTAATTTTTAAATCATATTTTATCTTTAGTATTTAGACTGCCTTTGGGCCCAGATTCAGAAATTAAAAAAAGATCGCTGGCAGGAACGGCACATCCTGAGACCATACCTTGCCTTTGACAGCATCCTCTGTGAAGCCTTGCAGCACAATCTGCCTCCTTTTACACCACCACCTCACACGGAGGACTCGGTGTACCCAATGCCAAGGGTCATCTTTAGGATGTTTGATTACACTGATGATCCTGAGGTATGTGACAGATCATAACTAATTTAGAGCATTTTCTGAAGCGAGGCATATCACATCACTTGTCTGCTTGAGTCCTGTGTAAAGTTGCGGGTGTACTTTTAGGAAGAACAGATCTATGTGTTACATAGCAGCACATCCATCAGGTTTAGGAGAGGAAATGTGACCTAATCAGCTGGAAGAGCTGCCTCTTAATGCATGCTGGCCGTGTGACCCTGGGCAAGTCCCTCCACTTCTCAGGGCTCTAGGCAGGTCTGAGAGAGGGGACTAGCCTGTATTGGCAGAGGGAGTTTCCTCATTTGGAAATGTAAATGAATTCTTAAGTCTAGTCTCTGTCCCTATGAAATCCATATTCTGTTCAAGTTAGCCAAAGGAGAGGAAGGGAAGTATTTTCTATCTTTGTATTGATGAGGAGAAGAGTTCTTTCTCTTCCAATAATCAGATTCAGTAGTATGTTAAGAAAAAAAAATCAAGCTTTTCTATAGCTTATTTTAAAAAATAAACCATTTTCATTGTTGTCGGGTATTGCTTTACTTTGCCCTCTGTCAGATTGTTATAACATGATTGGTTAGGGGAAAAATTAGTGAACAACTTCGTTCTAGCATGACAAGATCTTTTTTATATTCTGATTCTATTATCCAGCATATTAGCTAACTCACAGTCTCACATCATCCATGCCAGACTTTTTAACTAATATATTAAATCAGCATTCATTACTTTGACCCATTAGTAGTTATTGACTCAGTAAAGCTTTTATTTAGAAGTCTGCTTTACATTTAGAGAAATTTCATCCTCTTTGATCAGATAACCAAGAATGAATATTTTTGTTAATGTGTGTGAACCATTGAGCAACTAGAATTTAGTTTTTTTTATATACTAAGTTTCTGAGGCTTAAGTTTCTATAAGTTTTTTCACACTTGAAAAGTAAAACTTAGAATAAATTCTGTGGCATATGGCCTTTAGTTTGTGTTCACTGGAAAAAGTGGATATAGGAGAATGATGGTAGTAATGAGGTATGGAATCTTTCACAAAGCCTTAGTAGACATGAAATAAAATCTGATAGGTGTAGTGGATACAAGTAGACCGTAAAGCTTCCTAAAATGAACTATTCTAATACTGTGGAACTTTTATCACAAAAATACTTTGTCTAATTCCAAAAGACTCATGATGGAAAATGCCATCCACATCTAGAAAAAGAACCATGGCATCTGAATGCAAATGGAAGCATACTATCTATTTGCTATCCTTTTGGTTTTTTGTTTTATTTCTTCTTTCTCGTGGTTCCTCCCATTAGCTCTAATTCTATATATCATGACTAATGTGAAAATATGCTTACTATGAATGTATAAGTAGAGCCTGTATCAGATTACATGCTGTCTTGGGGAAGGGGGAGAAGAAGGAGAGGGAGAAAATTTAAAACTCAAAATCTTATGGAAGTGAATGTTGAAAACTAAAAATAAACAAATTATTTTAAAAATAAATAAATAAAAAGGTGACCCAGTTGTTACATCACAACTGCTTCATCTAGTTAGAAGGAGTCACAGGAACCTGCAGCACAATGGCATGTTGTTGCCAACACTGTGAAAAGGAAGGCTCATTTTTAGTATTGCTTAATGTGTAATATTTGTGTTCTAATAAACTTCCAAATTTTCAGAAATTAAAAAAGAAAGAAAATACTTTCTCTAGTGACAAAAAAAAATTGTGCATCATGTTTTTGTTTTAGGGTCCTGTTATGCCAGGCAGTCATTCTGTGGAGAGATTTGTGATAGAAGAACATCTTCACTTCATCATTAAATCCCACTGGAAGGAAAGGAAGACATGGTAAGAAATGAGCTTTATAGGTCAAAGAAGACCTATAAAGCAGTAAGTTTTATAGAAGTTTAGAAATAAGCTTTTAACTTTGTAGAAATAAGCTTTATAGGTCATAGAAGAGAAAAAGGAGCATTTGTAAGAACAGGCTAGAAGCCAGAAGATTGAAATTTTAAAAGAAAAGTTTGTCTCCACATTTAGCTCCCTGTTTGACTAGAAACAGATTCTCTTTGCTTCCTTTTCCCTTAAATCCTTTTACTAAGTGATTTGCTTTATGGTATGTACGTAGGTTTCTGGGTATTGCTACCCATTCTTTAATAGAAAATTTTAACTCAAATGTTTCATTTAAGCAAGACTTTGTGGGAAAAACACTAGTGATTTCTTTCCATTTTTTTTGTGCTTCCATAGTCACAGTCTTCTTGGGAAAGCATTATTTCTACAAAGTACTTCATGAAATTTGACTTAATTTTTTCAGTGTAGGTATAAGATGTAAAGGATACATAAAAGAGGAATTAATTGCTTGATATTTTCAAGCTCTGTTTTTAAAAAATGTATTTGGACTACTGTATGTGTTTGTCTGGTCCGTGTTCATCTCATACAAATAAATTTCCTTATCTCCCAGATAAGGAGCATGATGATTTTTCTGGTGGGCTTATAGTCAGCAAAACTGTCATGCTCTTGGTAATTGATTCAAACTGGGGACACTTTGAGATACTGTTGTTGATTTCTAGACTTGATTTGCTTTTTTGTATGGTTTTGCTGTATTTTAATAAACTTGTGTGCTTTTTTAAAATAGTGCTGCACAACTAGTGAGCTATCCAGGAAAGAACAAGATCCCCTTGAATTATCATATAGTCGAGGTATGCATTTTATGTGAAGCATCTTATTGATTTTAATAACCTATTTTTCTGGCATTCACAACACAGCCTACTCTCTGCTATCCAAGCCTTTCACTTCTCCTTTTTCTCACTACTTTTCAGACATTGCAGACTAGCAGAGAAAGAGGAAAGGAGTATTGGTCCACTTTTGCTTTTTTGTTAGCCACCTTGACAAAAAGAAAGGAGATTGAGAGCCCAGCAGCTGTAGTAGAATTTTGAATTCCTTTATAAATTATGTGTAAACCATTCTTTCCTTTTGTTACCACAGATAACTAAAGTAACTATAACTCCTTTTCTGTTCTTCAGATGTATTCATGATTTAAATATCTATAGAATTTCATTATAGGCAGATAAACTCATTACTAACTTTATCTGTTGTTTATTAATGGTGCAGAGACCTATATTTTAAATACAACTGAGCATTTATGCATTCTTGTCAAGGATAGGCACCAATAATGTTAAAAAAAATTTTTAATCTAATAATTTGTAAAGAGGAAAATTTACTTCATAAATGGTGCATTAAAATATCCTTTGACTATAGATTAGTCTATAGGAAAGAGATATATTTTGCAGAGTGGTTGTGCACATTATTGTAATTTATTTTGTCTAATCATTTATCACCCCAAAATAATTTTTGCAGTTAACACAGTGGCAATCATTGAAGTCTTTTCACTGCACTTTTTAAGTATGATTAGCCACATTTGAATGAGAACCTATTGTTTTGTGGCATATTGTCTCATATTTGTAATTATGCGCTTTTATAAAAATTATTTCCAAAATAGTAATGCATCAGTTGTATCTGTCTTCAGGGAATGGGTCTGGAGATCATGCTAAAGATAAAGTAGGATATGAACCTGTCTCATTGAGAGCTGATCAGACTGCAAATTATAAAGCACATCATCCTCTAAAATATATAAAAGGCATTAGTAAGCAGATTGGGGTGAGTGGGTCTTAAAGGAAAATAATACAAATAAAGAACTCTAGGTGGTAATCAAGGATGAGTATGGAATAGTATAAAACATGTTTGTAGGAAAAAAACATCTTGAATCAAGGAAGACTTGGGCCACATTGAGGAATTTTAAAATGTTTTAAGAAGAAAAGTATGTCTAACAGTGTGGACTGACAGTGAGAATAAAGTTTTAGTTAAACAGTAGTTCAACCTGAATCTCCGTCCCCAGAAGCTCTTCTTTCTAGTCCTGGGCCCAGAAAGTCTTAAGCCTGATAAGAATTTATATATATTTTAGTGTGACTTGGGTGATTCCGGCAGTAAGTATATGGCACTTGAAAGCACTTTGTCATGACTCTGTGAGTTAGGTAGTATAAATATTATTCTAACTTATTTTACAGATGAGGAACTTGAGGAACAGAGAGTTCAGCTTGCCCATTGTTGCATAGCTAACATCAAAGCTAAGATTCAAGCCCAAGTCTCTTCACTTCAAGTTCTTTGTTCTTTACACCACATTTCCTCTTCTGTGGGCTTCTGGTTGGGATATGGGTCAGATGATCACTCACCTGGTCTGACTTCAAAGTTTCATTTACCATAGCAGGGGATGGAGAAGATATTTCAAAAATTTCTACCTATGGATATTGGTTTGAAAGCAGCAACTTTTAATTTTTTTTAAAGACCTTAGAATTTTGGAAACTTTATAGGAATGGAAATGTCTGCATACTTATCTTTGAATTAGGTTCTGATTCATCTAAACTATTTTCTAGGTGATCTTTGCAGAACTATTTCAGCTTCCTGTACCCCCTCACATTGATGTTATGTACACAACACTTCTTATTGAACTGTGCAAGCTTCAGCCTGGTTCTTTACCCCAAGTTGTATCCTTTTTGTTTGTGGTTTGACTTGACTTTTTTTCTTTGTTTCGAGAAGGATTGTGTGTTTCCTCAGGTACAAAGTAAAACTATGATGATCTCTGGAATCTTATTTTGGTTGTTGGCTTTGGTCAGTATCTAAAAATGAAAGCAAACTTTTTAGTGAACTGGAGCAATTTTTAAGCTTTTTCAGTTCCTATATGTTAGCATTTTATTTTCTTGGATCATAATTCAAAAAAGGACACGGAGATGTATTTCAGTGTTTAGGTTGAACAGCTTTTAAAAAGAACAGTAAAGTTGAATGGAATTTTCAATTACTAAAGGAAAAAGACTTTCCAAAGCCTCCCTTAGTACACTGTTATCTATCGTGGCTACTTTGGGTCATTGTTGTTTGCTTCCTTAAAATGAAGAGGCTGTCCAGATTTACTTTTCACTCTCTTAGCTTGTGATAAAATTCTAAATCAGCAACAACACGTGTGTGGGCTTAAGATACATTAAAATGTTTTGCAATTTCTAAATGTTTTCTCTTAATTTAGATTGAAGTATATTGAAGGGGGCTTAGAATTTAAAATTCTCAGGTTTCTTATAAGTGATCATTTGCTTTTTGTATTAAAAATTGGGACACATTTAAGAAAAGTCAAAATATTGTCTAGGTTTTTTAGTTGGATTGAAAACGTACTTTTATTTGATGGAACTTCCCAAGTTCATGATAATTTGTAGATGGGTAGAGACAGCATGACATGGTGACTAAATTAAGAAAGAGCTGGCCTCAAACCCAAGAAAACCGAATTCAAGTCATGCTTCTGACATGTGCTTCTGTGACATTGGCCAGGTCACTAAACCTCTGAGTGTTCAAGGCAGCTCTGAGTCTAGAAGCTGCAGCAGAGATCTGAGGATTTCGTGTACCAATGAAATCATAGGTACAGCCCCTATCTTTGCAGGTGGACTATGAAAGGGATCTGGCTTCAATACTGAGGGGCAAATGGAATTTTAAACTAATCACAGTGTCATTATTCAAAGTCTTGGAGAAAATGCTCAATTATTTTTCCCTTGATACTTTTAAATTTTAAAGGAGTTTAAAATTATCTGTTTTCCTTATCTGTGAATTTAAGCTTGCACAGGCAACTGAAATGTTGTACATGCGTTTGGATACAATGAATACTACGTGTATAGACAGGTAGTTGCTTATATTTTTAACAGATTCTCTCAGATTTTGTTCCATATGCTTTATGGTAGAATATTAAACTGTGGCATGTATGTGGTGATACATTTGTGTAAATGTATGTAATGTGAATTGTATAGGCAAAAAGACAGTTCTATTTCATTTATTATTATCTTGTGCCACTTCCAAATGTGTCCTCTGTAAACCACTGCACATTCAGAGGTTCTCTAATAATTACTCAAGCAGAAATCCTTAAAAAAAAAGTATATATGAAAATATTTTCAGAATTTTAATATTTGACATATCTATTTTTATTTAATAGGAAATATGAAATTATCAGTACAGCCAAATAAAGCACTAGCTTCATAAATATTCATTAATTTGATTTGATCAGCCATCACTAAGAAATACATAAAATGCATATTGTACTTATAATAGGCAACAATACTCAGCCCTTCAACAATTATTTATTCAGGAGCTGCTATATAATAAGGAACTTAGCTAGGTATTTCATGTAAGAAAATATTAATAGTGAGACATTTGAATATCAGTTCCTTGAGGGAACAGGACTAATATAGATCCATCCATGCAAAAGAGGTATAGTGGAGATTGTGTTTAAATGAAAGGGGCTTGGCTATAAAGAACGTTCCGTATCAGAATTTTACTTGTCTCATGCCCGGTTTTGGTTTCACGTATATTATTTCTAGGAATGTTGACCATATTTCTTTCTTCAAAGGTTCATTAATTGGTTTTCCCATCACCTAAGTAACTTCCAATTCCGTTGGAGTTGGGAAGATTGGTGAGTGTTCTTCAAGCACTTTTCTTGAGTTTCATCATAGCAAAATTCCCTTAGTACTTTAAAAGTTATATGTGAGAGCATAATGCAGAAATTCTTCTAAAATAGTTTATTATTTTATGTATTTTACCTAGAGTTGACCTGATTAGAAATAAGTCTAAACTAGGTGGAAATGTGAAATTTGCTTAATTGTTTATATTAAAATTTTACATTTTCTTATTAGGTCAGATTGTCTTACCCAGGATTTTGAAAATCCCAAGCCAAAATTTGTAAGAGAAGTACTGGAAAAATGTATGAGGTGAGTAGTTTGTTGTTTTCTCTCATCTCTTTTTGTACACTATTAAGGTTGTCTGCTCTGTATGTATGTGATTTATATACAGACTAAAAGATGGGTTTAATAGGCAAAGAAGTATCCTGGAAAGACTTGGATTCTAGTTCTGACTTGAACATTAACTAGCTGTGTGACCTTGTTGGGCAAGTCGCAACTTCTGTGGAGGTCATCTATGAATCTGGAGGGATTAGACTAGCTGACCTTTAGGATCCTTTCCAGCTCTGAAATTCTATCAGGTTAAGTATTGTGGCCAGCATTTATAACAAAGTTTCATTGAGAATTCTGTTAAATTCTTGGTACTTTTTTTGTCTTCTGTGTCTGTTGGTCACAAGGGAGAACAAGCAAGGGGGTATGGATGTGTCAGGTCAAAATCATCACCATTTTTGGAAAAACAACTCAAAGAACATGTTCTACTGATAGTGAGTCAGTAGTATCGTCTTTATATGTGAGAGACAATATTATATTTACTACATATGCAAGAAACTTCTTAACTAAACTTTCCTAATCTAGAAAAGATTCCTTCAGCGTAACCCAGAAGTCCATGGTTTTGAATTAGAATATTGGGTCTAAAATCTAAATGGGTGAAGATTATGTATGTAGGGGATTGAGTAATTTTAAAAATTATTTTTAAAAGTCCAAGTATAAATGAATTACACAAGGACAGATTAAAGCTTTGACTTATGAGAATTCACGTATTCACAAATGGGTCTTTACAGCAGCACATTACTGTATTGTTTCTTTACTCTAACTTTTTTTGTGGTGAATTTTTACCAGGATTGGCCTTATTAGAGAATATGTTCAACAAAAGTGAATTTTCCAGATAATTAAAGCTTTTTCCTTTTATCATTTGATAACTCTTTCTGAAATAGTACATAAACTTCCTTGTTTTCTTAAACAAAAATATACTGAACATCATTTAACATTTTCTTAATGATTTAGGGGTCTTAATTATGATGATCAATTATAGTATCAGGCCATGTGATACTGTAGGTTTTTTGGCTCTGTTGTTTCCAAACTGTTGGATTTTATTCCTTCTGTTATCATGTCTGTCTTTTGTAGCTGTTCTTTAATATGGTATGAAATGAGAAGTCAGATAATCATAAGTTTATTAGATTTATGTGTAAATTTGTAACTAAACTCTGAATTTTGGTTTGTGGACTTCTCCTTTAAAATGTACGAGATTGGGACAGCTAGGTGGTGTAGTGGATAGAGAACTCAGGAGGACCTGAGTTCAAATCTGGCATCAGATACATAACACTAGCTGTGTGACCCTGGGCAAGTCACTTAACCCCATTGCCTAGACCAAAAAAAAAAGTGTATGAGATTTAGTACATTTGCTTTTTGGCTAGCTCTTTTAAGGCCTTGTGCCTTATTTCATCTCAGAATGAGATGTATTCCAAGAGGTTGAGGTTGTCTTACTTCTGTGGAATTGTGTAGTTTTAGAGCTGGAAAGGGCCTTAGAGATCATGTAGTCAGTCTCATTATTTTAGTTATTTATACAGTAAGTGTTCTAAAATTAAAATATTTGTGTTATAGGCTTTCATACCATCAGCGCATATTAGATATTGTTCCTCCAGCTTTTGCTCCTCTGTGTCCAGCAAACCCAACGTGCATTTACAAGTATGGAGATGAAAGTAGCAGTAAGTGACGCTCTCTTCTTCCCCACCTCCCTTCTCCCATTTAAATAAAGTTTCACCATTATGCCTAATTTTATGTTAATTATAACAAGCAGAGAAACTGAACTTAGAAATTCCCCTCTTTCTACTTGAAGGTTTTCTCCTTTTATTTTTTTAACTTAAGGGTGTCATACTCTTGTTTTAATCAACTGTCATAATTATGAGGGTATTTTTTTTCCTTGTGCTGAAATGTTTCTTCTTAACTGGCTTATAAATTACCTGTATCTGTTAGTTGTATTATTAACTGATGTTTCCATGGCATTAATTCTTTTTATTTTCAAATATACTATTGGTTATAAAGTTTATGGATTTTTAGCATCTTTAAGGAAGTACATGGGGAAGCATAGAGGAATGAGAGAGGCCATCTCTTTGTAGACTATATAGAAACCTCATGCCTTTATAACCTGAACACTGTTTTCAAAAAAAGAATTGGTAGGCACTGAGCATCACAAGCACCAATATGCCACTATCAAAAAGCCCGTTTATATCGTACAAAAGGTAAAAGGCTTTCATTGATGTAAGAGTTGCCCGAGTCAGCTGTCTGTATACAGATGATTGACTTGAGAGCTAAGATCAGATTTAGTAAAAAGAGAAAGGAAGAATAATGATTAAGGAAAAGGTATGTCACATAATTGAAACAACTTATCAATGTAAGCAAGTAATGAAAATAAAAATGGAAAATGGACAACAGAAATGACCTTGACACTGATTATAACTTTATGCATAAATTTAACCAACATTTTGCAATAATTGCAACAAGGCTACTAAAAGAGCACTTAGACTACCACTCCTTCTCTTAGACTAGCCCTCACAACCATCATCTGGGGAAGCAAGTCCTGTGGGGAAGGAGGCCTACCATCCCCACCAGCTGCCATGTCCAGGGCAGGCAATCAGTCAAATCGCTACCATGAATCACCCTGACCACCATCTCCTCTCAGACCCTGTTGGAGACAGCCCAGGACACTGAACCCAAGAGTGTTGGAAATATTGGTGTTGGTGCTTCTAGTCCAGGGCTCTCAGACACCCTTCTGGGAAGTAGCCCTCATGAAACTGCAGCCTGGCAGTTTCTCCTATACATATCACAGCCCACTGAAGACCCAGAAAAGGAAGCTCTTGACACCAACGTCTTTGACACTGTCAAATTGTTCAACATCAAAAATTGATATGATTTAATCAGTGGAGATGGCATTAAAGAAGAAGCATTACATCAATTGAGGAATGACTGAACAAATTGTGGTATATGATTGTGATGGAATACTACCTTGTTATAAGAAATGATGAGCAGATGGATTTCAGAAACACCTAAAAAGACTTACAGAACCATGAGAACTGTACACAGCAATATTGTACAATGATCAACTGTGAATGACTTAGCTGTTCTCAGCAATACAGTGATCCAAGACAATTCTGAAGGACTTATGATAGAAAATGCTATCCATCTGCAGAGAAAGAACTGATGGAGTCTGAGTACAGGTCAAAGCGTACTTTTTTTTTTTTACTTTTTTCTTTTTTTTTGGTCTGTAGTTTCTTTACAACATGACTGATATGGAAATATGTTTTGCATAACTATACATGTATAACCTACATCAGTGCTTGCCATCTCAATGAGGAGAGGAAGGAAGAAGAGAATTTGGAACTTAAATTTTTTTTTAAAAAAAGCATCAAAAATTGTTTTTACATGAAATTGAGGGAAGAAATATTAAATATTTTTAAAATGTGCAGAAAAGGAGGCATTAGCATCTGTTTTGCTGCTGCACCCTAAGCACCTTTGGAAACTTATAGTAGAAACCTTCCATATGTAATGTCTTTCCAAAAAGAATGTGAGCTCCATGAGAGCAGGGACTGTCCTACTTATCTGGTGAGGGCTTCCAGGTACTCCTGTTCATGGCTGATATTGTGCTGATTGCATCATACTTCAGAATATTATATCTCTTCTATAGTCATTCAGAGAAGTTTGACCTGACTATCCACACATGAAAGACAAAAGTGGATGAAAAGAAACAGTGAGTTGGGCCCAGAGTAGAACTGGAGGAAGGAGTGTTGGTTATATTGCCTTTGGAAAATTGCAAGCTTCCCATGAAAACAAAGACCCATCTTTTTAACACCAACATTCTCCCAGTGTTTTATGGCAGCAAGTTTTGGAATACAACAATCCCTAAATAACTGAAAAATGAATATTACACAGAGAGCAATTGCACATGTTAGGTGCAATATATAACCAATGAGGAATGTTGAAGAAGAGCAGGAATAAATGATATTATCATGGAATTGTATGATATGAAGAGAATATGGATACTTCCCTTATTTATAGTAGTTCTAAACTCTGACCTCTGTGAAACTTTAACTCTCTTGGGCTGAATATGACAATGCTACACATTCCTTCCTTCTTAAACCTCTTTGTTCCCTTGGCTTCTTTCAGACTATACTCTTATTTCTCCACCTAGCTTTCTGTCTACTCTGCCTTCTTTGACTTCTGTTCCTCAGCCTGCCGCTAAATTCATCCCCCAGACTTATGTCATGACTTAAGTCAGCATCTCTATACTAGTGACTTCGAAATCTAAAACTCTCCCCTTGATCTTACCCAAATTCCTCACATATTTTTAGCTGTCTGTGGTCTATTTAGATGTCTCCTTCCTTCACCTCAAACTCAGCGTGTATAAAATTCAGCATCTTATCTCCTTACCTCTTTCCTGTTTCTACCACTGGCGGTACCATTCTTTTGGAAACTCAAAATTAAAAACTTAGGTTCAACTTCCAGTCCCTCTTTCTTGTACACCATATTCAAGTAGCTACTAACTCAAATTGATTTTTTTCCTGTGCCACACTACTGTAGTCCAAACATTATCCTCTGATTCGTGTATTCATTAGCTTCCTAATTTAACACTCTTATTCTAGGTCTCCTCTTTATTCAGTGCTGTCTAATTATTCTCCCTAAATTTAATTTAAACTTTTATCATGCTTCCTTAAGAATATTTATTATATTTAAGAACTGTAGGTTTTATTTTTTAAATTAAAACATTTGCTTAAGCCCAATACTTTATTAGAAAAAATGATTGTTATTAAAAAGAAATTAAGTGTGTATTTGGACCACTTAATCATAGATCATCTAGAAGCAGCCTTCTTGTTGTTTTCTAAATCAGTATTCTATCTTCTACCCCTGGGCAGTGATGTTCAGTTCCTGAAATACATTGCCTTGTCTCCTCTACTCCTTAGATTCCTTTTTGTTTTTTTAATTTAATTTTCTTTATTTTTTGCTTATATTTTAAGTTCCAAATTGTCACTCTCACTCTCTCTCTCTCTCTCTCTCTCTCTCTCTCTCTCTCTCTCTCTCTCTCTCTCTCTCTCTCTCTAACTCTAACACAGACACATACACACACACACACACACACACATACACACACACTCTCTCTCTCTCTCTCGAAGGCCACTAGTTGACACAGATGTCAATCAAGTATTTGTTGAGCAACTTCTCCATGGTACAGCAGCAGGATCTAAAAAGTATAGATGACATATCTCAAAGGAGCTTGTTTTGGAAAAGGTGACACACTGTTGCCTATGGAAGCAAGACTTAACTTCCTCAGCCAAACTTTGGGGTCCTTCTGATGACTAGACTATAGGGCATTGCAGTCTGGCTGCAACCTATCATATCAGGCTGAGTTCATAATATCCCTCATGTACTCTAACACTCTGTCTAGCCCTGTCTCTGCCTTTAAAAACAAGATTATTAAAAGTACAATTTTTAAAGATTACTTTCATTTTTTCCAGTTAACAGGGATTTCTTTTCTTTCTCTCCTCTTATTTTCTACTTCCCCCCACCCCAATTAAACAATAACCAAAAAAGAAAAATAAAATCCTCAAAATAAATATGTGATGGTCAAGTGAAGCAAATTCATGTGCCAGAATTTGTGTGTCATTCTGCATTTTGAATCCATCATCTCTTTATCAGGAGGTGGGTCCATCTGGTCTTCTCATTTGTCATTGTATTGATCAGTATTCTAAGATCTTTCAAAGGTGTTTTCTTATAATTTGCCATCATATAAATTATTCTCCTGCTTTTGTTCACTTTACTCTGCATTAGTTTGTACAGGTCTTCCCAGTTTCCCCCCTCTTTGCTGTCTTATAGGCTTTCTCCAGACCTAGAATATATACTCTCTTCTTACCTCTTTCGGAATATGTAGCTTCCTTCACAGCTCGACTCAAATGCCATCTTATGCACAAGGCTTTTCCTGATTATCCCTCAGTTGTTTGTGCTTTACCCTGAAGTAACTTACATATAGTTTTATCTCTGTATATGTTGTTTTTCCCAGTAGAATTTGGCGGGGGCCCCCTGCTGGCAAGCGGGTCCATAGTACCTAGCATGGCTTAATAAATGCGTATTGACTCAATAGCTGAGAAAGAAAGAGTTAGTGGGTTGACTAGTTATTTAGCTCTTTTTAAGTTAGTTCTTTCAAACTTATGACTTTTTTCTCCTGTGTTTTAGATTCTCTTCCAGGACATTCTGTAGCCCTCTGTTTAGCTGTTGCCTTTAAAAGTAAGGCAAGTAATGATGAAATCTTCAGCATTTTGAAAGATGTGCCGAATCCTAACCAAGATGATGATGATGGTAAGGGAATTAAGGATGTTCCTGGAATGAGATTGTAGGGCATGTAAACAGCCCGAATACATGGTATAAATAGGGGGTGTACTGTTCTTCTTAAATTCAAAAATTCTCTTAGGTAGTTCTGAAAACCAAGAGTTCTTTTAGTCCTTGTTCTACTTCTGATTTATTTCTTTGCAACATCAGAGCATTTCTCCATTTGTGAAAAGGAAAGGATATCAACATCTTGTATTTTTAAACATTGAAAAAAGAGAGTATGTCACATTGTATCCCTTTGTTATCATTTATCTTCAGTTGAATAAAGGGATAAAGAGTGAAAAGAACTGCTTTAACAGGGACTCTTGTGAAAGTTGGTATATTATGGGCCTATTAAGAAATGAATGGTATTGAAGGACTTCAATGGTCATTGTACAGGAATTTAATAATTATGCTTGTGAGTCACTTTCATTTGTTAGAGTAAAGATTTGGATAATTGTCATTGAAATCAAATGATCACTTTTTCATAGAGTATAATCTTTATCTGTTTTAAGAAGCTTCATGAAAACCAGTATTTTTTATATGGGGCGGACCACCTTAATTGAACTCTTGTTAAAGCATCAGTCAGCACCTAAGACTTTGTAGAGAGATGATACTTCTGCATTGCATGGCAGAAGGTTGTACGAGGAGCTGGAGAAAAGAGACTTGAGCCTGAGGACTTGAGGAAAGGAAGTTATATAGGAGGGATTTGAATTAGTAATGTCGGTCAGATATTGAATATGGGAAGGAGAAATGGAGGAAAATTTGGAGAATAATCTCCAGGTTCACATACGCGTCCAGATTCTACTTCCAGAATCCATTCTGGAGACATAAGATCAAGGACAATTTAAAAGGCTCAAGCAGGATTAGATAGGAGAACCCTAAAGGTTCAAAAAGAGAAGGTAGTTGGAAAGACAGGACGTGGTAGGTGAGATAAAATAAGTAGAATGATTCGATGGTTAACTGATGAGAGTAGTTTGGTGAGTGGGGCAAATTGGTGAAAATAGGAGGTTGGTAGAAGTATAGGGTGGATATATAGTTTGAGACTAAGAAAAGGAAGTCGAATGAGTTTGTCAAGTCATTTAAGAGATGATAATTGATTGTCAGAGGCCTCAGTGGGTTAAAAAAAGAGAGATCTGCGGTAGAGAAGGGGTGACCTGACTTGTCAGGATGTTGGAGAATGGAAGAACGTTACCGAGAAGAGAAAGAGAAGAAAAAGGACAGCTATTCAATAGAATGTAGAAGGTCATATGAGGCTTTTTCTGATCAGTTAAGGAATGATCCAGCAAGGGTCATCCAGTAGTAGTTGAGATTTTTTGCTCAGGCGTAGTTAGGCAACTATTTTTTGACTTGGTAACAATAATACAGATGTATAGTGGCCTCTCTGGGTCATGCATCCAAAACATAACAGAGAACCTCCCAAGCTTTATAAAAACGGGTGATAACTGCTCACTCCTGGTGACTCTTGTCGGCATAAACAATGCTGCCAGAAAGAACCTGAAAGGTATTGCCAATGATTATGAAATCTTGAGCAAGAAACTGAGGACAATTGAGGGGTAGGTTGTTTTATTTTTATTGTTACAGCTGGGCGGGCCAGCTAGATTAGGGCAAGTAGCACTCATAGGGAAGCCCCTGATGCAAACTTTTATGGGGGATTTTGGGGAGGACATAGATAAGAGTCACACAAGGTGAGCTGGTATGAATGGATTGTGATCTGTATTGTTGGAAGAAACTCTGGGGTACATGAGATCACAGGGTCATCTTCGTATTTGAATATGTATGGTGTTCTGTATGTAAGTACAAAGAAAAATAAGCTTCACAAATGCTGTGTCAAGCATTGTTGGATAGCACATGTTCTGAAAAATATCTGGTGGTTTTAGTAGACTGACAAGCTCAGTATGAATCAACAGTGTTTTATGATAGCCAAAAAGGTAATGCCACCTTGAGCTGCTTTAGGAGGTAAAATTTCAGGTATTAGTGCCACTGAATTCTGACTTTGTCAGGTTTCATCTGTAGTATTGTTTTCAGTTCTGGGCACACAATTTAAGAAGGATTGATTAGCTGGTGAGTGTGGAGAGGACTCCACCCTTCTCCCCCAGGGGAGAATCAGTTAGAGGAACTAGGGAGGTTTAGACTTGGGAGAGGGGAGGGGTGGACACCACTTATTCTATTTGACCCAAGAGGGCAGAATCTGGGGCAATGGGTGGAAATACATGGGTCAGTGTAGGCTTTAGTGGGGAAAAACTCCCCAACAATTTGAGCTCTCTAGAAGTTGAATTGCTATGAGAATTGGTGGTTTCCCCTCCTAGGAAGTCTTTAATAAGAGGTTAGATGACTGCTTGTAGGATATGTTATAATGGAGATACGTCTTGTGTATGAATTGGGCTATATTCCCAATGAGATCCAGTCCAACTTTCTAGTTCTGTGATTATGTGAGTCCTTTTAAAAAGCATTCTAATTTTCTCATTGTAAAATATTTTTCAGATGAAGGATTCAGTTTTAACCCATTGAAAATAGAAGTCTTTGTTCAGACTCTGCTTCATCTTGCTTCTAAGTCTTTTAGCCACTCTTTCAGTGCTCTTGCAAAGTAAGTTCAAGTAGTTTTCTTGGGGACACATTTCAACACTTTTTGCGTGTTATTGTTGAGTTGGGGACAAAACGTGCTGGGGTGGTAGAGAAGGGGGACTTAGTAATACCATAGATTACATAGTTCTTAGTGTAAAAATTAGTGCTCAGTTTATAAGTTAAAGATTCATTTGTCCATTGTTTCCAATAATATATATGTGTATTCTCTCTCTCTTTTTCATAATTGCTACACTAATGACATCAGGAGGGAGCGAGGGAAACATTTATGGAACAGTCTCACCTCAGAGAGCCTTGTCACCAGAACATTGGCTATTAAGCAGTTGAATTTTTTTTAACCATTACAATACATTAAAATTGTCTCTTAAGGCAAATTGGCTACCACATGATGATTTATAAAGGCTTAGAGGAGTTTCCACCTGTATTGGTGATGGGGCTCCAACACATAGGAAATGACAATTTTTTTGAAGTAGAAATGTATACATACTTAAAATACTTAACTAAGTGAAGGAATAGGGAATTAAGGGAAGAAAACTAAACACCTTATGAGAGACTCTTGGAATCATTTCCTACAAGGAAGGTCTTCTCAAATCTGCTAAAGTAAGCAATAGTCCAAAGTAAGTCAGAGAAGCAAAAATTCTCTAATCAACAGAAATTCAGTTCTTCCTTAGATTCATTTATAGACTCTTTTCTACTTTGATAGTCCTTTCAGAAGGTGAGAAGAGTTATCTTCTATATACTAAATGGCTGTTGCTTCAATAGATTTTTCATCTAGCTTTATAAATGAAATTTTAGGATTTGAAATAGTCACATTTATCTTCTAATGCATATGTAATTTCAGGAACACACTTGTTTCCATTTTCACATAGTCTGTAATATATAGCATTACCCTAATAAAGTCCTCTAGTATCTCCCTAAGTTACTGAAACAAAAGAAAATTCAGCATTTGTTAGGAGCCTTTGTGCTTGTGTTGTACAGCGTAGCTTGAGTAACGTTAAAAAAAACTCGCTAATTAGTATTTTTGTTTTACAATAAGGTTTCATGAAGTCTTCAAAATGCTTGCAGAAAGTGATGAGGGAAAGTTACATGTTCTGAGGGTCATGTTTGAAGTCTGGAGGAATCATCCCCAGGTAAGAGTCATTTTAAGCATCCTAGAGTTCAAATTGTAACACTTCAGGTTATTCATTTGTGCATGTCATTGTTTTGATCTTTGAGCAAAGGTTGAGTTAGTCCCTGGGCCTCCAAAGTAGTCTTACAAGCTAATTTTTTATCTGTATTATTGAAATAACTCATAGGTTCACTTCAGAGAAGCCAGAATAATTGGTTTCATTGGGTGCCCAAAGGCAATAAAAATAATGGTTTCTGGAGATCACTGGTCATCTTGTTCTGCAGTGTTCCCAATGAGAATGATAATTCGATTCATTTAATTCAGTGTTTATTACATGCCGACTGTGTGTGGTGCTCAGAATACCAAGAATAAAAATGATAAGATTTGTGCCCTCAAAGAACTTACATTTCTTCTGTGGATAAAATATGTACTTCTATAAACAAATTTAGTTAAGTCTAGACAAAGTTATTCAGGAAGAAGAGAGCACTGACAACTTGGTGAATGAAGAAAAGCCTATAAAAGGTATTACGTAATCTGTGCCTTAAAAGAATCTAGGGATTTTCCAAGACACAGGTGAGGAGGGAGTACATTTCAGACATGGTAGACCACCTATGTAAAGGCACAAAGGGGAGAATTGGAATGTTATCTTTAGGAAATGAGTAGCAGATCATTTACACCGAAAAAGGCATAATTTGAAGTAAGACTAGAAATAGAAAGGGAATTGTGAGCTGTTTTATGAAGGGCCTTGAATGACAGGCTGAGGATTTTTTTTTTAAACCTAAATGCTAAATACGGAGTTACTGAAGTAGAGTGGTGGCACAATCTGGTGTATGTTTTAAGAATGTGGCAGCTGTTTGGAGAATAGATTGAAGTGGGGAGAGCCTAGAAGAAGTAGTCTAGGTGAGAGGTCATGGAGGCCTAAGGTAGAGACTATGAGTATAGAGAAGGGGCAGAGGCAAGTTATGAAGGTGGAATAAATTAGAAGGTGGAATTAGACTTGGGGCTGAAAGGTTATGAGGGAGTGGGAAGAGTCTAATGAGACCCAAAGGTTTTGCACCTAAGGGACTAGAAAGATGGTCATGTCCTTCACTGAAATAGGGAAATTCAGAGAAGGAATGGATTAAAAGAAGGAGGATGGGAGAGGAGTTACTTTTGTACTTGTGATGTTTACTGTGTCTACAGGAAGCATCCAATTAGAGATGCCCAAAAGTTAAGAGGCATGTTTTCTGGGCCTTTGTACAGTAGTGCCATCTTGACTAACCTTTCGAGATCACTGGATTTAGCAATTGAGAGCAGTTTCCTTGAGTTATATGTAGGGTTGAAAGACAAATACTAAGGGATTGAGAATAGTTTGAGAAGTGAGAAACGGAGAGAATGCTTTTTTTTTTTTTTAAGAATTTGGCTCTAAAAGGAAAAAGATACCTTGGATGGCAGCTTGACGTGAGATGAGGGCTGGGTGAAGTTTTTCTTTTTAGAACTAGGGGATTATCAGTGCATGTTTGTGGGAAAAGAATATTTGAATAAGGCAATATTGAAGATGAGAGAGTGAAGAAGATACTTGCAGTGTATGCACCAACTTTTGTTGCAGAGGATTAATGAGTAAAGGTTTGTTGAAAAGCTGGGGAAGATCTTCCTAACTAAGTAGCATGAGTACATGGATATTCTGTATCTTCACTGGGAAAATGGACACAGTCCAACAAAAAAATATGTTAGAAAAGTGGTTTGGGATTAGTTTATTAAGGAGAGCATTGGCTTTTAAAAGACTATTCAAAAGCCTCATTGCATACCTACATGTTATTAATAATTCTTTAAGAAGAGAGAAGTCGTTTGGGCATTGTAAGCACCAAACATAAAAAACAGAAACTGACTACATTTGTCAAGAAATAAATGGGAATTTCTTGGGAACAGTTGGGGTATGGGAATAATTGATTAATCAGTTGACCATGTGCAGTTGAGTACCAAACTGATTGTTTTCTTCTAGATGATTGCTGTATTAGTTGATAAGATGATTCGAACACAGATTGTGGACTGTGCTGCAGTAGCAAATTGGATCTTCTCTTCAGAACTCTCTCGTGATTTTACTAGGTAAGCAAAGACTAGTTTCTTGTACTTTTTTTAAAACCAGAATTCTTACTATATTCATTCAGAATTGGTTGGAATTTTTTTCCTACTTACTTTTCTGGGAAATCCAAATACATATATACATATATGTAAAATTTGTTTTTTCAGCATAGGGAAAATGTGCTTTTGCAACTTAGGTCTTTTTGATCGTATTGTATTTAACCTGTATACAATTTTGACCTTTAATTTACTCTTAAATATGCACCCATCCTAGTTTTAAATGTGTAGTTTATACTAATTGCTACTATATTTTTAGGTTGTTTATCTGGGAAATTTTACACTCCACAATTCGAAAGATGAACAAACATGTGGTGAAAATCCAGAAAGAATTGGAGGAAACTAAAGAAAAACTTGCAAGACAGCACAAACGGGTACATTATTTTTCTCTTTTTGGCAAATATCCAAAGCATTGGATTAATTGAATTACATTAATGTATTAATATTAATTGAATTACATCAAATAACCCTATCTACTCTAATACTTTGTTTCATTTGAGTAGCTCTTACCCCAAGAGGTACAGAATGGCAGAAAGTGGGAATATTCTGTGCCTACATGCAGTTTTCCCTTGTAGACCACTGAACAGTGGCAGTTTGTTTAGAATAGAGGTTCATAATCTGGTGTCTTTGGACTTTTTTTTTAATACATCAGTACATTGTATCAGCAGAGCTAGAGAACAGATGTTTGTTGTTTTCAGTCCAGGTCAATGAAGTTGGAGGTAATCTTACTGCTCTTGAATCCTTCTTAATTATTCCCCTTCTCAGGGACAGCTAGGTGGCGCAGTGGATAGAGCACTGGCCCAGGAGTCAGGAGGGCCTGAGTTCAAATGTGGCCTCAGACAAATAACACTCACTAGCTGTGTGACCCAGGGCAAGTCACTTAACTCCATCGCCTAGCCAAAAAAAAAATTATTCCCCTTCTCCCCAACCCCCTTAATTAGTTATTTTTAGTTCCCCTTTTCCATATCCTCTTCAGATATCCACTTATAGGGGTAAGAATGGAGCATAAGTGATGACCTTGACCAAAGCAATAAACATATAGCCTAGATGCTGCTTGAAGTACATCCTTGCATGCCCTGCCTTTTTTTTTTTTGGTTTGGTACTTTATTTTTTTAAATCTTATTAATTTATTTTATCAACAATCACTTCCATATGCTTTTGAGTTGAAAATTTTTCTCCCCCTTCCTCCCCCCACCCTCCCCAAGACGGCGCACAATCTGATACAGGCTTTACATTTGCATTCCTATTAAACATATTTTCACATTAGTGAAGTTGTAAGTAAAAATTAAAACCAATAGGAGGAACCATCAGAAAGATGAAACAAAACTCAACTGAAGGTAAAAATAAGTGATAGCGATTCGACTTACATAGTTCTTTCTTTGGATTTGGACAGCATTTTCCATCCCGAGGCCTCTGGAGATGTCTTAGATCCTTCTAATCCTGAGAAGGGTTCAGTTTAACAATATTACTCATCCCATAACATGGCTGTTATTGTATACAAAGTCCTCTTGGTTCTGCTCACTTCACTCAGCATCAGATCATATAGGTCTTTCCAGGTTTTTCTGAAGTCAGCCTGTTCATCATTTCTTATAGCACAATAGTATTCCATTACATTCATATACCACAGCTTGCTCAGCCATTCCCCAATTGATGATGCCCTGCCTTCTTAATAAAGTGCTGTAACACTGTCATTGTTTTTTATTATGGCATTCATCCCAGTTGAACTTCACTCTTTTTGTTTCTGATTTCTCATATTTCTCACTTATCTTTTGGAGTGAGGCAGTAGCCACTTTAACCTTACCCTACAGTAACCCACTTATCGATCACAGAATCCGAGAATCTCAGAGTTGAAGCAAGTCAGAGATCATATGGTCTGACTTGCCTCAGAACAGGAATACAATTTTATATTCTTATTTGTATTTTTCATTTTGTCCTTTTTTAGTTGTATCCAACTTTGTGACCATATTTGAAGTTTTCTTGGCAAAGATATTTGAGTGGTTTGCCATTTCCTTCTCTCTTACTTGTAGCTTATTTTTATACTTTTTCACTTCACCTTTCAGACAAATGACTCTTACTTTTTGCTACTAATTGGAACAAGTTAATCAAAGAAATATGGGTTAACATAGCTTCTTGTGACTTAGTATCTACCAGCCAACTTCACACAAGCTGTAAATTGCCACAGCAGGACTCAGACCAGGGCTTCTGGTTCTAACTCCAGTGCTCTTTCCATTACAAAACACTGCCAGTTGTAAATGATTTTTGTCTCACAGGCAGTATCTGAATTTTTTCCTTTTCATTTTACCTACTTTCTGAAGCAAGTTAGTGGAAAGCAATTATCTTTTCTTTTTCCATAATTAAAATAGCTGGCACTTGTACATGTTTTGGGATACCATGGGCTCTCTATTGTTATTTGCTCCACACATTATCGCATTGCTCTTGTGAATTACTTTACAGATGAGGAAACTGAGAGTCCAGAGAGTCACAAAAGTTCATGGTAGAACCAGTTGCAGAAATAAAAGTGCTTTCTGTGTCACCATGTCCCTTATTTTTGTTGTTTCACAAGATGGTTTGAGGATGGTTTTAGCCATTGCTCCTTTCTTTCTTAGTAACTTTTTATCCTATATGATTAGAGAGGAAGTGCTGATGTTCCCACATCTCTATAAGAACTGTGCAGTGTGTTCCTTTTCCCAGGTTCACTTGCTCAGGTGTATTCTTAGATAAGTCAACAGTCTATTTTAGAGAGCCCAGCATTCTAAGCAGGTTGGAAGGCTTAAATTAAATGTTATTCTTTCCCAATAATTGGCTAAAGAAATATTCTCATGAGAACCATCTAGCACAATGGGCTGTGCAGTTATTGAGTTACAAGTATTAGACCTGTACCTTAAATAGCTTAAATTTATTCTGTCAACATAGTTCATTTTTCATTTATCAGGCTGGCTATTTTAGATACAGTGAATAAGTTTTTTTAGTTTTTTTAAAGTTTTTTTCCCACATAACTCCTGCTTAGCAGTACCTCTCCCTAGACTCCCTCCCCCAAAAACCTACCCCTCCCTTTTAAAAAAAAAATAGTTAAAATGATACAGTACAGTAACCACATCTGTCAGTGTATGACGCAGTCCATCATCTCTCTGTTGAGGGGAGGCATGCTTCTGCAGTGCTTTGGAACTAAAATTCAATGTAATAACCAGTCTGAATTGGACGTCTTTAGTGTCATTTTCATTTACAATATTGTGATCAATTTACAAATTGTTCTCATTCTTTTTTTGCTCTTCATCAAATATTGTCTGTGTTTCTCAGAATTTTTTTTTTACAATGCAGTAATACTCTAGTACTTTCATATTATCTCAGTTTACTCAGCCACTCTGTAATCTAATCAAAAAGGACTTTTTTTTTCCAGTTTGTTGTGTTTTGGTTTTTTTGTAAGTTTTTGCTCTTAATGTTTTGGTACATTTGGGACCCATCCTTTTGTCTTTGTCCCATTTGGGGCATATGCCTAATTGGGAGACTAGATGAAAGAATTGAGTAGTTAATAACTTTTCTTGAGTAATTCTAAATTGTTTTTCTAGGTTAGACTAATTCATAGTTATGGCAATGGTGTATTTGTGTCTGGCTTCCTACATTCCCTCCAACATTGACTATTTCTGTCCTTTTTATCTTTGAAAATTTACTAGGTGTGAAGTAAAACCTGATTTAATTTTCATTCTCTTATTAGTTATTTGGAGGTTTTTTAATATGGTTGCATATAATATGCATTTCTTCCTTTTGAAAACTCTGTTCATATTCTTAATGCATTTTATACTGTCTCATGTTCTGCTGTATCTTCTATCCCTTACTTGGTTATGAATTCCCTTCTTCCTGTACCTCTGTCATAGTTGTGGAAAATTTCTTATGTTCTCTATTTTTTATGATGACTTTATTTTTAAGTGTCATACTAGTTTTAGACTTTTCCTTTTTAAACCAAGTACCAATAGTAATGAAGACAGGTTATAAAGCTTCCCCATTAAAAACAAATATGGTCACTTGCACTGCTTTTGTTTTATTTAGTACTGGAAATTCTAACAGTTGCATTAAGACAGAAAAAAAGATGTTAGGGAGATTAACATTGGGGAAGAAAAAGGTTAAAATATTACTTTCATCACATCAGAGGTCTTAAAGACAACATAAAGTGTATTATGACTAAAATACAGGAAAACCTATTAGTTCTGGTAGGGGTTGTATGCTCATCCATTGCTGGTTGAATGAAAACCTTAAAAGACTGTTTTTGTAGAGCCATCTTGAAGTACCTACTTAAAATAATCCTACGCATTCTCCATTGTGGAAAATAGGCACTGAAAGCCCTATCTGTTTAGAGATTTTTCTAAAACTATTTGTAGTTATAAAAAGCTGGAAGATTGCTTCAAATAATAGAATGGTTAAATTGAGGTGCAATAAAATAATCGGATATTATAATACAATTAATATGGACAAATATGAGGGATATAAATAACTCTAGAAAGGCCTTTATGAAATAGTACAAAGAAGAAAGCAGAACAAGAGAAGAGGGCCCACTCACCATGCCCGTATTGGAGGAAACATGAATAAGAAGGAATAATGAATCCAGAGAGAAACCAAAGGAGGGACTGGTTTTATTTCTTCCACTGAAATTAATTACATTGTAAATCATTAATGAGTTTAGTTAGTTGTACTAATGTTCAAAGCTTTAGAATAATTTGGTTTTTTTCAAGTGATCACAATCATTTATTCTCCCTGGTTTTTGTTTTCTAAGCTCAGATAAACCTCCAAACCATATCCACTATTTATTGTCCAATAGAGACACCAACAGGGTTCCCTGCTCTTAGTGAACCTGCATCTGTGGAGAGCTAGAGGATCTTCCATATTATCTTTTAATATCTCCCATATATCTGGAGTCATGCCAGGTATTCCTTGGGATTTTAACTAGTAGCCATTCAAGAACAATACCCTGAAGGTAAGTTAGTAACTGTCGTGACACCCATGTGAATACTTGCATCTCATGTCACTGGGCATTTTAGAAGTCAAAGCTAAAAGCCAGTCGGTGTCAGCAGTGTAGTGGCATGTGGGTCTGTGTTTGTGTGTTTTTAGGAGTACAACTTAAAAACTGTTAGCCATTCTCACAATCACAAATCACAGTCATCAATGTTAACGATTTTTAGAATTTGAAATCACATATTTTCTCTGTAATTCATTTAGTGACCTTTGCCCCAGGGCACTATTCTGATCTGTCTTGATTGATTTTAATATACTCTACTTCTAACTTGTTTCCTTTGTTTGCTCTTTTGTGATTTATAGCGTGATGACAGAAGCAGTGACAGGGACGATGGGGCATTAGAGGAGCAAATAGAACGTCTGCAGGAAAAAGTCGAGTCAGCTCAGAGTGAGCAAAAGAATCTTTTCCTCGTCATATTTCAGGTAACTTGATTTTAGACTTTTAGAATAGTAAAAGAAAACCCTACATTTTTAGATTTATAATTTTAGCTCCCTTTTATTTGAAAGGAAATGCATGTAATATGAAAGCAATAAATGATCATTAAAATTGCTACCTTCCTTATTTGCTGGAGATCAAGTCATTTGGTCTCTTTGGTAAATATTTCTCAAATGCTGGAACTGTCCTAATATCTAATTGATAGGACACAGATTGCTAATATTGTTCATTATGTTTCTACCTTTCCAGCGCTTTATCATGATACTGACAGAACACTTGGTACGATGTGAGACGGATGGGACCAATATATTAACACCTTGGTACAAGAACTGTATAGAGAGGCTACAGCAGATCTTCTTGCAGGTTGGTGGGTTTGTTGTTATGCTGAACTGTTGTTTAGTTGTGTCTGACTCTGTGACCCCATCTGGGATGTCCTTGGCAAAAATACTGGAGTGGTTTGCATTTCCTTCTCTAGCTCATTTGACAGACAAGGAAACTGAGACAGACAGGGTTAAATGACTTGCCCAGGGTCATACAGCTAGACAGTGAGGCTGGATTTGAACTCAGGTCTTCCTGATGCCTGCCTAGTGCCCTATCTACTATGTCACCTAGCTGCCCTTTTAAAACTATAGCCTCCTTTAAAAACTTCCCTTGTCTCCTGTTAGCCAAAAAGTGGTATGTAACTTTGGAGCCTTCAACTTATCCATATTCTCTCCCTCCTATTTCCCCTTCTTTCTGCCCCCCACCTCATCCCACCAAAAGAACATAACAGTAGCATGTGTAGGTGTCACTGCTGTCCTATGCTGTAGTAAATTAATGATCTCTGAAAAAACTGAGCCCCAGGGATGTTAAGTGATTTGTCCCTCCTTACCTTTTCTTAATTACCTGGTATATTCAATAGTTTATTTTGTATATACTTAACACATTAGTGTTATTTCCCCAGGTGGAATGTAACCTTTTTGCTTTTTGGTGAGGCAATTGGGGGTTAAGTGACTTGCCCAGGATCACACAACTAGTAAGTGTCAAGTGTCTGAGGTTGGATTTGAACTCGGGTCCTCCTGACTCCAAGGCTGGAGCTCTATCCACTGCACCACCTAGCTGCCCCAGAATATAAACTTTTTAAGAGCAGTGATTTGTTTCATTTTTTTCTTTGTATCCTCATTACAGTAGATGCATGATAAAAATGCTTGTTGAAAAATAGGTTCCATCTGTCTAAAGAATACATTTTTAAGATTAGTGGCTGTATTTATGTAATTCATGGTGCCTCCTGGATTTACATTAAAGACATCAAGGAAAGTAAAACTGCATTCTTTTGAGTTGCCTATCTTTAGTATTCTACCAAAAAGACCCAATTGGTGTTTTTCAGTAGACAGCAATTTAAGGTACTTACCTGTCTTGGATAGAGAGCCAGTCTCAGAACCAGAGGGTCTGAGTTCAAACTGTCTCCAGTACATTCCTTTTGTGGCCTGGGGCAAACTCCAAAACTATAGATTGTAGAGGTTTTGCAGAGGTATTGCCAACCTATATTGGTAGAGTTTCCTTACCTAGACATTACCCTATACTAATGAAGTCACAGGTTCAGTCTCTCTACACCTCTTCTGTTTACATGTTTCATAGTCAGATACTGGTTCATAGATTCAGAGCTGGGGGGAACTTTAGGGGCATCATCGATTTTAGAAACCAAAGCCCAGAGAGGCCATGACTTTTTTAAGGTCACAAAACTTCTGGTTCCTAAGATTCCAAGCAAACATCTTTTTTTACTTATGGTTTCTTTATTCCCTAACCTTTAAAAAGATTGAGCTCTCTTGCTAGGGAACAGAGGGCACTGATCCAGACTTCTTGTGTTGGGAGCCTAGCTCTTGGTCACCAGCTTTGTGTGCTGGGGCCTCTTATGCTGGCAGTTGGAGGCTGTAGGGTTTTGGCAGCTTACCTCATGTTGGGCTGGAATCAGCAAGGCTGGAACTTTCAGGCAGTTCTAGGCTACCTGCTTTTCCTTTCCTTTAGCTTTCTTCAGCTCCTTTTAGATGGGTGCCACAGGGTATTTATCTGCCTGGGGCCCCTTGCACTGCTGCCTCCCTCTTTCTGCTAATGCACTGGGAGATTCCTTTGTGGTAGAGTGCCGAGGCACCTGGTGGTTTTCTGAGCTGGTTTCCACCGGTTCCTCTGTCCTCACTGAGGCACTCAGAGGTCCAAGTGTTGGTGTTTGCCTGCTCTACCACCTGGGCTTCAGGATCTCCTCCTGGTTGACAGTTGGAGGCTGTAGGGTTCTGACAGCTTACCTGGTGTTGGGTTGGAATCAGCAAGGCTGGGACTTTAGGAAGATTCAGAGTTGTTTTCTTCAGCTCCTTTCAGATGAATGCTGCAAGGTGCTTATCCACCTGGGGCCCTTTGTAGTGCTGCTTCCCTTATTTTTGCTGAGGCACTGGGAGACCGATTTGCTGGGCTGCTGCACTGCTCTTCCCCATCTTTCTTCTAGTTCAGCTGTTCCAGGGTTTTTTTTTTCCCTAGGGTGATATTTTCTTGGTTTTCAAAGGTTGATAGGGGAGGGCGAGAGGGACTACCTTTTTACTTCACCACCTTGGCTCCCAGCCCAAGCAAACATTTTTAAAAGATCCCTATGATGATTACAAAGTGGAAGAAATCAGTCAGCAAGCAATTGGGTACCTACGGCATACTGTGCTAAATTTTCAAGATACAAAGAAGAAGAAAAAGACAGTCCCTGCTTTCAAGGAACTCACGATTTAATGGTGAAAACAACATGTAAACAGCTATGTGCAAACAAGATAAACAGGATAAATTGTAAATAATCCATAGCATTTAGGGGGATCGGGAAGGTCAGATTATAGCTTGGACTTCAAGTATTAGAGAAAGGGATACCCTGTGTCCTATACTCAGCTACCTAAATAGTAGAATGAAAAGATGAGAATAGTTTATTTTTAAAAGCAGATCTGAATTTCAAGAGGAGATAGTGTTATTTTTAACTGTACTAAGCTGAAGAATGCCTCCAAGAAAACATCCAATTATGGGAAAGAATGTTTCCTTTCAAAGAGAGGGTTTGCTAACATAAAACTCAAACATCGTTCTCCCCACCATTCTACCTACAGGGTAGGTCCATAAATGAAGGAAAAGCTTATTTAGATGTAGTTTCTGATCTCACAAATCTTTCCTATTTAGTTAGTGACCTCCAAAGTTCTTTAGAAAGCTAGACATATACACACAAAATCTGATGTCCTGTGGATAGCTTCACTAAGCAATTGGATATTTGCTTAATGCCTTTTAACTTTAGGGACCTGTGAAAGTAGATGCAAATAATAAGAAGGTATGGGACTTGGTTCCTGGCATAATCTTGTATCTGTTAAGGCCAGGCTCAAGTCTTAACCTGTTCTTTGAAGCCTTTTTGACTCAGTAGTGTGTGTCTCCCTGTGAAATCCCATAGCATTTACTCTGTCTTCCACTCCTTTGGTTGTTCACACTTTTCTTGTATTTTCTTATATCATTAACTTTTCAGCTATTTTTTCATATATGTAGCTTTTCCTAACTGGACTGTAAGCTCTGCATTCAGGGACTGTCCCTTATATGTCTCTCATATCTCCCATAGCAGCAGTGTTATTAGGCACATGACAGATCTATAATAAACATTTGTTGGATTAATGTAGGGGAAATAAAGTTTAGTCGTAACACCTCCCCCCTTTTCTCATGAACAGCTTTTAAGAAATTATTGTATACTTTAGTCAACACCTAGAAAGCCAAATTTAAGCAAGCTGATTTCATTGTCACAGCAGAGTATTTTCAGAGTTAACATTTAGCCATTTTTCTTCTGTTCTTTCCCTTAGTTAGGTATATTAGAATGCCATAGCCCTACTTCCACTCAACAGTAGTAAGTACACATCTTCCTCTACCCAGTTTTTGTACTGAGAGTTCTCACCCCCAAGAGTAGGCCAAAAAATCTGGTCCTGAGTTGTTTTTGTGGTAGTTTCCATCCTTCACTTAATTTCTCCTCTTTTTACTTTTATAGCATCATCAGATAATCCAACAGTACATGGTGACCTTGGAAAACCTTCTCTTTACTGCTGAATTGGACCATCATATTTTGGCTGTATTCCAACAGTTCTGTGCTCTGCAGGCCTGCGGATTTTTTCCTCCTTCGAGTTGAGACTTTAACAAAACATATATTTTTAAATATGTCATTTATTTTGGATCGTTTGAATGAATGTTGGCTTCCTGGTAGCATTTTGTTTACTTCCCTTCTTTCATTTATTAGGGAAAAAGGAAAGGGGAAAAAAGTAAAAATTGGTAAACACCTCTGCTTAAACCTAAAACCCAAATGATTTCCTAAATACAATAATGTGAAGCTGACCATAGGACGTCATATAAATGTGACAGAAATGCAACTTTTTTGTGATCAATTTGATATATTTTCTCTAGTAAGGCACAAGAAAAGTACTTTCACTTGAGGCATGTCAAACACTAGAAAAAAGAACTCATGAAGTAGAAAAGTTGGATTTCTTTTATTTACCAAGCAGCATAGATTTTCATGGTTCCTGGATAATTTGACAAAATATGGTTGAAAAAATAAAATTGAAATATGTTTTTTAACATTAGTCTGTTGTGTATAATTGACACTAAAATCTCTACTTACGAAAAATCTTGTACAACTCCAGAGCAGTTTTCTCACCCAGAAACCTTTCTGTTGTAAGAGTCTTGTCAGTTATTGTTCATAAAATGCATGGCATTGTACAACAGTACTTAAATGCATGTGTTAAAATTAGGTTGTCATTTTAAGGAAGCTTGCCACATACATAGAATAATTCACTTGTACTTCCTTTATTCATTACAGTTTAAGTAATACATGTGAAAAAGTAATGACTACAAAAACATGATCCAAATTATTGTTTTGTTAAGTTTGTTTTCCTGCTAGATATAATCTTAAATGTCACAGAAGACCACTTTCTCAGCACATTGGTTAGCAGTTACATTGCACAGAATTCAGAACTAGGTAAACCATTGGGATGTGTTTTAATTAGACAAGTTTTATGGCAACTCCAAAAGTATAGGCAATACCAAACTTAAATTGATTGAGAATTAAAGAGAATAATGTAGCTGTTTTTCTATAAGACCAGGGCTAAAAGTATAGCAAAAACTACTTATCTTAAGATTTTATGTGTTCACCCCATTGCATGATGAAAGTAAGTTAACTTGCCTTTAACCATAAGTATCCAGTAAATAACTACTCAAATGTAAAAATCAGTGCTTGCTAACAATGAAAACTGAAACCACTTCATGTTAACAATTTTGCATAATTACATGACTTGTCTTTAAAATTCTCTTTATTTAAATATAAAATATTTCAAAATGGTTAAATCTAAAAACTCACATTACATTTTTTCATATGTCAATTGGTGGCCACAAATTGTACAAGTCTTCTGATACATGTCATCTTCAATGTTTTCTTCTGGCCCATACTCATGTTGGTGAATAGCTGTTTCTTTTTTCCATACACTGCTTCTTACAGCTCTGCGTAATTCTAAGATACCAAAACATCAAAAGAATAACTGCAGATGCCAATTTATACTTATGTTTAAATAATCTTACTAATTGAAACCGCTGAGCTGTATAAAGGTAATACACATTTGAAGCAGCTGTTAATGAGAATACTCTACTGCCCTTCAATGAGAAGGGATAAAGTTAGGGTCTGAAATGTAAAATAGCATGAGAACAAGACAAGATAAAAATGGTCTCTGTTGGGGTGGGTGTCCACTGATGGATTCACAATTATAAAATGTCAACACTAGCAGGGACCTTAGCAATTATCTAATCTTAAAACTCATTTTATAAAAGTTTTTGGTAATGAGTACTTAGTATGTCTAGAAAGAAATGAAAGTGTGGTCTTCTGAATGTAGGAGCAGCTGTGGAGTCAAGACAACCTAAGTTCAAGTTTGGCCTCAGAGACTAGCTATGTGACTATAGACTTAAACATGAAAAGCATTTTCATTTTTATGACTACATATGGCCCTCACAACAATCATCTGAGGTTAGAAAAAGGTAAGTATTCCCATTTCACAGAAGTGAAGGTGACAACGTTTTAAATGAATCCTCAATAAAAGGGAGTCTGAAGTTGGGTCTCCAGTGGTTTTTCCACTATATCAGGGGTTCAACCTTTATTGTGTCTAGGACCCTTCTGGCAATTTGGTGAAGCTTATGGACTCAATCTCAGAGTAATGTTATTAAATGCATAAAATAAAATACATAGGATTATAAAGGAAACCAATTATACTGAAATAGTTATCAAAAATTTTTTTTTTAAAAAATCACAGACCCCCCCCCAGATTAAAAATGCTTGCACTATATATTGTGTTGCCTGCTACTTATCAGCAATGCATTTTAAGCTTTATCTCTGAACACGATGTGAGACTTGAACCCAGGTTTTCCCAGCTTCAAGACTGGCTCTCTATCCACAAGGCAACTCCATCCAGAGATGTTTCTTCCTACAGAACTCTCTTTTAAAATAGTGTTCTATTCATATGTGTTTTAAAATCCAATCTCTGTGAAAAAGGCATATCTTCAATGGAACCAAGGTCTTATCAACATAGTTTTACTCTGTCCACTGGTGCAGATCCCCCCCCTCCACATTTGATTCTAAGTGATTTTTGTCTGTGTCTTCCCATGAATATTCCAGAAGAGGATAAACTACTTATTTGCCTTGCTAACTGACTGTGCAAGAATGTTAAGCAATGGGGGAGATCATCGATAACTAGCTACATGTTAGTGCCACAGGACGGAAAGCAATGGACTAACTTGCTTTTCAATAACACTGTGAAATAGAACACTACAGAAGAGCAGGGCAAGAATAGTTTTCCAAAGCCTACTGCATCTTGCACCTTGACTCTGCTTACAAAAGGACTGACGATAAAATCTCAACATCAGTAATGTAATTAATGCTTTATTTTAAATATTGTGTTCATTTAAAAAATACATAATTCAAAATTTCACAATGTTTTCAATCAGAAGTTTAATTTTTTTCCCTCATTTTTCCCCTAAGTCTTTACAACTATCTATAAAAATCATGCCTTAGCTATGAAGAAAGTCATTTACTCAAAGAGTTTGGTTTCACCAAGAGAAACCAAAGCATACTTATACAAACCTCGGAAATTCAATATGTAACAAAAAATAGGGACACAAAATTTGGGGAAAATAGCAAAGACTTTTGACAAACAGTCCCCTAGAGTTTAAACTATCGATGAAAGATATTAATTCCAATAAAGGTTCAGAGTAAAAGCTTGCAGGAAAATCATGGTAGGCTAAATAATGATTTGAAATTTTCAGTCATGTCTGACTCTCTGTGACCTATCTAGGGTTTTCTTGGCAAAGAGACTTGGAGTAGTTTGCCATTTCCTGAGGCAAATGGTGAAGTGACTTGCCCAAGGTCACACAGCTTGTAAATGTCTGAGGCCGAATCTGAACTCGGGTCTTCCTGACTCTAGGCCTAGCACTCTATCTCCTGTGCCACCTCGATGCCCAAAACAAAGACTGTTAACAGGTAAACATTTAAAAGGTACTGCTTCCAGAAAGTATTCAACTTAAACCAGAAACTTCGATTTGAATGCAGGCTCTGCCATTTACTAGACATTTTCTCTGACCAATCACATGGCCACTCTGACCATAATTTTCTCATCTAAGCAGAGATGATATATTTGCACTACCTACTTCATAGGGGTTGTGTAGCTCAGTATTCTGTAAAAGGGCTAAACTACTATGTTAGTGTGTTATTATGACCTAGGTGTTTATATTTCCTCAAACCTGGCTCTAAAAACTGTAACTTATTTAGAGTATCCTTTAATGTTTATTAAACATTCATTAAACAATTAAGCAAGATGCTGTTTATGCTGATTTTAAAACTATTCTTGGCTGTTTACTTTTTATTGAAGAAGCACAAAGAAAAGGAAAAAGAAACCTCTAAGGGAAGCCTAACCCAACTAAGAAAACATTGGGCCGCAGCATCCAACATGACAGCCACTGATTCAAATTACAGCAGTAGTTATTTCAGAGAAAAGCAGTCTATGCCCCTTTCTCAACAATATGTATTTCATCACCTTTGTTCATTCAGCTCTAAAATTAATAGATACATACACAGCAAAGCAACTTGATTTCTCATTGCCTGTACTCGGGGTTCACAGCAGGGCCCAATATGGAGAGGAACTTGGAGCAGAGAGCAGAGCAGGGGGAAGAAGGCAAGTCTGCAGTGTGTTTAAAAAAAAACAAACCAGTAAAATGGCCAAGGTCTATAAATACCTCATCATCTAAGGAGTGTAACAGTTTTTCCAATCTCCCTTCTAAATATCCTCCTATGGCTTTTTTATTTTAAAATTTCTTTTACCCTTTATCAACTGTCTTTTGGGATAGGGAAAAGTGAACTGGGAAAAGCAAACAAAGGACAAGTTAATTCAAATCAGACTTCTCTAAACTCTTAAAACCACAGTACTCTGGGAAACCTTTTACTATCTAGGGTTTGGGTTTGGGTTTTAAAATTTACAAAGTGCGTTCCTCATAACGTGAGACAGCTATCCCTATTTTACAAATGAAGTAATTGAGGCTCTGAGGAACAACATGACTTCCCTAAGATCACACAGCTAGTGCCTGAAATGAGATCCAAAGCCAGGTCTCCCAAATCCAAGTCCAGAGCCATATACAAAAAGCCATGCTCCTTTCTCTCACTAGAATATCATTAAAATGTTCTAACAGCTATTTTTTTAAAAACCTCTCTAGGCCTAGATGGTCTTTAAGGTTCCTCCCTGCTCTAGATTTATGAGCATGACCCATCCAAGTCAACTCCAACAAAATTTCTAAATTCTAAAATAAGCAAAATTATTAATTAAATGGTTATCTTTGAATAAGCTTCTATACCTCAGTTTCTTCATTTGTAAGATGAGGGGCTTAGACTAAATGGCTGCTAAGGTTCACTTTAGCTCTAAAATCTTATGCCTACTGCAGTTAGTTTAGAGATAGAATAGTAACTTTGCTTTCCTGGAATACTGTTGGTCTCAGTCAGGAACACAATCTGTAACAACATGGTTCTAATGAAAATCTTAACCTGCTTTTAGATGGTTTCCAAAAACAGAATGTGAAAATATTAGAGACACCCTGTTTTCCAAAGCTAAGGCCCAGCAAGCAAACTGTGCCCTGAGCCTGGCATAACAAGTCCTTTGTGCTCACCCTCTGGCAAAATCACATAATTATTGTATTGCTTTGGCCAGCACCGAGGTTCCTCTGAGCTCAGACGAGCATTTGACAAGTACTTGTGGTTCTGGTCGTGAAGCCCTGCTATGGATCAAACTTGTCTCAGTGTTGCTGTTACCCCTCACTGTCAGGGCTGCAGCTCGCTGCGTGGCCACTGGTATAAGTATTGAGATCTCCCCACACTGCCCTGAGTGCCCCCATGAGGAGCAGGCCCCTGACACGTGTGTCTAGATCCCCTCCTCTTATGCATGTCCTCTCCCTCCCTTTAAAATTAAATTTTGTTTTATTCCTGACTCTCCTGTCTCTAGCCTGCTCTGTTTAGCTCTGGCCACCCACAGTGAGAAGCCAGTTTGATCGGACTGATGAGCAAAAAGCAGCACTACCAACCCATTAGCCCACAGTAAATGCTACTTTAAACCATCTCTCTGTTATTGACAAAGTCATATTCCGATACCTTTTTTTTTTCCTCTTTTAAATAGCAGTTAGAAACCTGGCAAAGCCCTTGAAAAGCTTGAGCCTTTCACAGGCTGAACCCCAGCTACTCACCTTTTACTTTTTTATCAAATTTTTTCTGTTTCATTTTCTCCCGGTTTTCCTGTCGAATTTCCTTTGCTTCTTCTAGGGCTTCTTCACTACCCCAGACTTCAAGAGCCCTCTTCACAACCTGCAGGACACAGAACCAAGGGACTTTTTGCCTATTACAAAGTAAAGTCAACTTTACAAGTAACAGAGATGGGTGTAATGTTCTAGGTCTCTTGCATAAGAAAACTGGGGCTTTTACTGAAATTGAACTAAATGAAAATTATTCAAAATCTTTCCATAAAATAAGCAATGCTGACTTTAAGAATGGCTTTAAAATAATATGGTGCGAAGGAACAGTGCCCTGCATTTGGAACATGGGTTCCAATTCTGGTTATGCTACACTATAGCTGTGTGACTACTGGCAAATCACTTAGCTTTTCTAGGCTGAAGTTTCCTCATCTGTAAAATGAGGGATCTTGGTCCCAGAAGACAGATGATGAAATACACTTCCTTCTTTTGGTGGGATGCTGAGGGCAGTGAACTACCAAAGCAGAATGATATATACATTGCCAAAATGCTACTAATGTCAATCTTATATAACTACTTTTCTTTATTTAGGAGGAGGCAGAGGGCAGTATTTTGGCCAGTGACTAAAGTTAGAAATATAGTCACCCCTTCCACATTGTGGGGATTAGGGGTACAGCACCCCTGCATTCTGGAAAATCCAAGTGAAATTTTTTGGCCCTCCCTACCAGAGAAGTCATCTGAATTATTATGGCATTAAGAGGTAAAATATGTTGATAATATACAATATTACACATACATGTTATGCATTTCTGAGTTTCTAAACTTGTTCTGTGTTGCCTGCTATCCTCATGTCATCTGCAGCTGCTACAAAAGTCTTAAAAAATTCCCACATGATTTCTTATGCTGACCAGTGATATAGCGAACCTGAAGCCATGATGGGGAAAGTCGAAATGTAGAAGGAATAACTGTAAAAAGCTTTAATAAATTATCAGGAAATTAATAAAATCAGGGGAGTGGGATCAATGACCTGTAACAGTCCTTCCAGCTCTAAATATATGCTATGAAGAAAGGCGGGGAGGTGGGAATCGTATGCTACCAACCAGACCGCACTCTGTGCTTACCCCTTGTCTTTATGAAAAAAGCCTTGGGCCATTTAAAGAATCTTTGGATTCTTGGTACAGGACAAGTTAAGAAAAAGCTGATCCATGACAGGGCACACTTGCTGAACATCATTTTCTGTGAGCAACGCAATTTTTTCATACTGCTACGTGGTTTTTCTTTGCACATAAACCTAAAATTCCATTAATTGGAAGGTTTTTCTGGATTAATAATTATCCTCTTTTAAAAAATAAAAATGGATTTATGGTTATCAGTCATCTATACTCATGACTTCATCAGACTATTTTCTTAGCTGAGAATAACTGTAGTTAGGAAACAAAAACTTTGGGTTGGGGATAGGTGTGATGTTCAGACACTGAGAGCAAATAAGAAATTTTAGAACACGGAGCATTTGGGCAGACAGAGCAAGGGTATATTCTAAAGTATTCAATGTACCAAAATTAATCATGATAGCATTATGGGAGCTAGAATAGGCCTGAAAGTGTATGAAAGACACAGTGGGAGAGAGGTGTAGAAATGGAGGTGGAGAGTTATCAAAAACAAATCATCTACTTCAAAATTTGACTTAGGACCAGCTTGTCACCAGAAAAGGGTTGGGGCTATCTTCCTTCTCCCTTCTGCACTAATATGGCACCTTCTTCCTAGGACCTAGAACTCAGGATATTAATATTAAGCACTGGTTTTGAACTCATGTGCTGCATTGTGGTAGGCAACAGAAATCTGTCAGATGAAAATATTTAAAAATATTCTAGAATACAGGTAGGATTGGGATTAGTGACAAATAGGACAAAAGGTTCCTATTCACCTTCCCAGTAAGAAGGCTGAGATTGCCCATAGGTAGTCCAAGAAAGTCTCCTTTGACTCTTCCATGCTCAGTGGAGGAATAAAGCTACCGAATGCCTTTCATTTTCTGAGGATCCTAGTTACTCTGCATCCCCAACTTTTCAGTGCCAAGAAAAAAGTTAACACTTCCCACAAAGATATCAGGAAAGACTGTCAAATGTCTCAATGAAACTAAAATATTTTTAATTTATTCAGTTAATGTTTAAAAAACAAATACCCAACCACCACCATATCACATTGATTCCAAACAGAAATTTCCTTCTGAGTAGATAACAGTAACAGTATATGATAAATAACAAACTTAAAATCTGTGTACAAAAAGTCAGTATCTGTCCATGATATAATAACAGTAAGATCAATATTTATAATGACTCTGCAAAATAAAAACATTACTTCTCAGTTAAAAGAGGAGATTGAACTAATTAATTAGCCCTGCTAAAACTAAAAAGAGATTTATCATCTACTTATACTCAAGCTGCGTTTACTATCTCATGTTGGTGATATGCTTGATGACATCTCTTCTACTTGACTGCATCCCGCTCATTAATTTTCTCTTAAGACTGCTGTATCTCTGGCTGAGTTTTAGTCTGGATAACAGTGACTGCTTAGGGCCCCACCTCCCAGAGGCCTCACAACCACTGCATTATTATATATTCTAATAGCCTTCTTGTGCCAGTTTCAGGCACTCTACTTGATATTTTGCACTTCTGCCAACTATCTATTTCCAAAGACCACAGTGACATCGATTACAGGAGCAGTGAGGCTCTTTCGATTGGGAATTAGAAATTTGGATGAAATGTCTTTTCTAACCCTATAACAATCACATTCACTTCAGCCTTGGTGGACTCCGGCACTCTTATAGCCTTCACTAATCTGTGTATGATGGGACTGTACCATCAGGTGATAACCCTGCTCAAAAGACAGCTATAGGGGCAGAGGACGTCGGGAAGAATTTCATGACAACAGTGCTTGTCTCCAGAGCCAAATCCTCTACCCCCATTCAAAGGGACAGAGTCTAACTGGGTTCTGTTGCTAAAATGCCAGGCTGCCCACTGGGTAAAGAACTCCTCCATCATAAAAAAGTTCAAGGCCATAAAGGTGACAGAATATATCTTACCTAATCTGCTTTGTCAACTAGTCATGGCTTACAAAATTGCCTAAACAATTGTAAACTTGATTCAGCCCCTCTGGGGCCAAGGGACTATCTTTAACACCACTGGTCACCCTTCATTCAACTTGTATCTTTATAGACAACTGATGAGAGGCTCTCTATAGCTGGGACCAAATACTTGATATGTTTGTGCTCTCGATGCCAAACTCCTTAGGATAAAGCCATTCAAATTAAGTGGCAAGGTCCTCTAGCTACTTCTCATTCTAACACTAAGGAAATGGTGTTGAAGATTTTACGCAATATGAACAATCCTCTTTCAGATGACATGTTATTTTTCCTCTAAAAAAATTAAGACAATTTTGTTAAACTTTTATAGGTAGCTGGATCAGTCTAATACAAAACCGAACCATAGAGTACTGATTATATGAATGTAATCTTTCCATACCTGCAGTTTTAAGTAAAGTTTCATGTCACCCCACTGTGAATGATGAGGATTCTTCTTCACAATAAATTTAAGCACTGGTTCTCTCTTTTCTAAATCACAGTCTTTTAAGAGGTACTGTTGTTTTGCTTCTGTTTTGGTTATAAGCTTGTGTTTACCATCAGGATCTCTGAAAAAGATTTGTAAAAGTCTGCTATATCAAACATGGTTCTTAGCCTCACTATTCAAGCAACTACAGCAACAGTCAGCACCCTACAGCAAAGAATAACAAAGATGAGGTAATTCTAAGTGCCACTTACATTATCAGTTCAATTTAAAACATTGAAGCAAAAAATATTTTGCAATTTCCATGTGCTAAGACAATCACAGTACACTGACAAAAGAAGTGCATCATTCAGCTTCTCAAAGCTAGGAGTTGCAGCAAGGACTTTCTGACTGACAAAAGATTCTCATTATGTCAATGTTGTTCAAGACAAAACACCATACCCCCCTAAAATTAAAAAGTAAAAATTGCTAACCACAAAGAAGCAGTTAAATACAAAAGGCCAAAACCTCCACATCAAAGAGTTTAGAATGGGAAGACACCTTAGGAAGGATCTATTCTTTTATTCTGCCTCACAAATGTTTCTACCAAAATGTGATCATTCCAGGGCTAGTCTGTGGCTGCAAGGCCCTGAAAGGAGATACGAGGACTCAGACCAGCCCTCACTAGATTCTGTTTCAGGTTTAAAGAATAACAGTAGCTGGCACGTATATTAGACTTGAAGTCGGCAATGCCCTTCACATGTGTTAAAGCATCTGATCCTCACTACAAGCTTACAAGCAGGATTCTTCCCAGGGCTGTCCACACAGGTGAAGAGGCTGACACTGCCAGAGCTACCTCAGTGTCAGGAGGCTTTGAAGAGAAGTGTGGGAGAAAAGAGTTATCAAGCTGGCCACCAACCTGAAGGTATACAGAGCCACTGTGCTGACCTGATTGTTGTATGCCTGTGAAAGCTGGACAGTATGCCAGCACCATGCCAGGAAAGTGAATCACTTCCATTTGAACTGTCTTAGAAAGATTCTGAAGATCACCTGGCACTGGACACTGAGGTCCTTTATTGAAGGAACTGCCAAGCATTCAAACTCTACTGCAGAGAATACAATGCTGACAGACAGGCCATGCTGCTCAAATGCCAAACACATGCTTGCCTAAAACACTATTTTACAGAGAACTCACACAAAGCAGGTGCTTACATGGAGGTCAGAAGTAATACAAGGACAATCTAAAGGTCTCTCTGAAGAACTCTGGCATCAACTGTGAGACAGGGTAGACACTGGCAGCACCCAGCATGGCGTGACCAAATCACAGAAGATGCCGTGTTCTATGAGCAAAGCAGAGCTGTAGTAGCTCAAAAGAAACATGAGAAGCACATATTTAGAGACATCTCTTTCCCACTGAACCTGACACTGTGACATCATCTTGGTCCTCTTCGATTACGAAGGACAGTAACGAATGAGGTGTTCTCACCCCCATTTTACAGATGAGGAAAGTGAGGCAAACAGAGGTTAACCTCTGTTTAACTTGTAAGGCTTGGCCAGGGTCACAGAGCTAGTTAAGTGTCTGAGGCAAGATTCAAACTAAGGCAAGCCTCACACCAAGAGCACTCTACCCACTGCACCACCTTCTGACACTGCACAAAAAAATCAAAAAAGGGAAAAAAAAATCCCCCTAAAGTGACATTAACTAACTAGCCCTGGGAACAAAACAAAACAAAACAACAGCAACAAAAATTTGTCAGGTGTTAGTTAGGATACATTCATAAATGAAGGTGATGTAAAACCCAAAGGACAGCAGTAAGAATTCAGAATCAACGTTACAGGAAACATATACTTTTAAAAGATTTTCTAAAGAACGTTTATTTAATTATCAGTGAAATTTCCTCATCTGGATTGAAAAACTTTTAATTAGATTTAATGGAAAATTTTAAAATTTCTTTCCTTAAATATTTTTTAAAATAAGATTAAATGCCCATCTGCCTGATAAAATTCTAAGTACGGGAAATGAAATATGATTAGTACCTGCAATTATCACAAGTTGCCAAATCAAAGTGGTTGATGAGGTAAGAATCCATAAACTCTTTCCCACATTCTTCACAAACCGCATAATCGTACTCTAGGACAGGCCCTAAGGAAAGCAATAATAAATCTTTTAGTTAGATTTTCTTTGAATGATCTGTGGTATATATCTATGCATTTTCCAACATTTTCATAGCTTTTTACCATTATGTTTCACATAGTCTGGATATCTTGATAGTATTCTATTTCAGTAAAGTCCCAGAGAATACATATTCCACTTATCTGAATTAAACAATGTAAGAAATTTAGTACAAGTACAAAAAATGTACTTTGATCTGCAAGGAGACCGCCTGCATCAAAACTGTTCTTAACTCTTTAAGGACTGCAAAAAAAATTCAGGTAGTCAGCCTCTCCCTATGTAGTTTTTCTGGTCCTCAGTCCAGCAGTCAAAGCCCTGTCAGCCCTAAGGCATACCAAAGTTTGCAGTCTACTAGTCAGAGACTAGATTACTAGAGACCGGGGTTACCTCTAAGCCGTAAGACAACAGGATAAGACTTAAAATGCCCGACTATAACACCCTCCACCACAACCTCCTGTGATGTATCTCTCCCTTCTCATCCTGACATAAAACCCATCTAATCTATCTTATATCCTGCTCCCTTAGAGCACCACTCCCAGCTAAATTATTTACTCAGATGAGGTAGGAACACAACTGGCAGTGGGACCTCTCTCCTCACCTCAGATAAGGACCCAGACTATCAGCACTTTCCTCTGAACCCTCCTGTCCTCCCACTTCACTATTCCCACTCTCCAAGCCCATCATCTCAAAACTTTGGGGAAATGAATTATACCTTCTCAGGAAAAGACTGCGGATGCCTGCAGAAAGAGAAAATTACAGAAGAGGAGAGGCAGCATGGCATGGTGGATAAACTGAGAACTGGGTAAGAATTCACCTTGGACACTTCCCAGCTATGTAACCAAGAACAAGTCATCTGACTTCAGTTTCCCTGCCTACAGAATGAAGGGGGGGGGGGGAAACAGAGCCTATAAGACTCCTTCTAGCCCTAAATCTATGTCCTTAGGAAGATTCTGGAGCAGGGTGTAGGCATGATCAAGGCAGGGTTTCATGAGGATAGACTAGAAGAAGCCTGGAGACAGAAACCCAAATAGAAGGGATTTGGAACAGTCCAGCCTAAGAATGATAAAGATCTTTGAAAAATGGGAAATGAAAGGGATCAGCAAAAGAAATTTTATCCACCTAGACAGTCAACTTCAGCTATTTTCTAAAGGGTGCAGTGAACTTTATTTTATGACCAATGAAGAAAATGGTTTAAGTGGAATTGGAATTTAGAGACATGAACAGAATCATCTGAGCTCTGCCCAGATTTGTTGAGAAAGGTTAAAAAGCCCTAAAAGGGTTTTTCTATTCTTTCCAAATTGTAGAAAATATCAAAACCTTCCAATATCTCCCCCCCACCCCTAATTATGCATGGGATCCAATGCTGTATTATATACAGTCAAGAACTCTATGGGGAAACACTGTAAACAAAGTTAAAGAGGAATCAATTATGCCCATAGAATAATAAAATCAGAATTGAAAGGGTTATTGGAAGTCATCTAATCCAACTCCCTTTCCAAAGCAGGAAACCCATCCAGTCACCAGATGACCACTGCTTGACCCTAAAACACTGGCCACCTGGGCTCTAGCAATACCACTGACCGGTTCAGCATCCCTGCCAGTGTGAAAAAACTGATTCTACGAACGTAATCCCTCTCACATACACCCCTTCTTTCAACCAAACACTTACTTCAAGGGAGATGACTGAAACTCTATCCTCTGCAAAACTGGAAAGCAGCAGGCAGCAGGGCAGGAAAAGATCCATAAATTTTGGCTCAAATGCTTTAGTGCTGCATGAATTACTAGCAGGGCACTTTACCAGCTTCCTCTGCGATGTGAGCCTGATCCCATCTTTCTTAACAGAAGGTATCCCATATCTATTACCAAAGGATGAGAACACTAGTGATCCCTCCAAATCTAAGTCAAGTAGGTGTTTATTTATGTACTTTATACAAAGCACTCACAACCCGTAGCACAGGGACGGGCGCACATACACACACAGACATTATAAACACAATAAAACAATGGATTAAAGAGCAAAAGAGGTGTGCCAAAATATCCCTGGGATATAAAAAGCTACTTATTATCAATTCAGCAGTTAACGGAAAAAGCTACCTGAAAGCACTGTAACATATACACTGCCTTTGTTGATTACTGCAAAATCTCTAAATTAAGTCCCACATTTGTATCTTATTCATGCACTGCATATATGGACAATAGATTCAACTATACTGAGAAGGCTTAGAGTATTTGATGTCCACACTGAAAACTGTTCTCCAGTTAAACCTTACCTCTAACACAAAATCAATAATAATTTATATAAAATATGGTATTTTTCAGGAAGGCAGCTTAAGCCAATTATAGTTCTGCTTGGCCTTAAATTCATTATGATATTTACTAAATAAAACTAAATATGGTTTCCATATTAAAAGAATTGAACCAAAACATTTTATTAACTTCCCAATGTATATGGATGACATTGAGCTTTTGGTTCTACCAACAAATATACTAAACAGCTCCTTCAATTTGTAGAATACAGTACACCATGGAAAAAATAGAGACTGAAGGCTTCAAGCTTGAATTCAGAGGTTACACACTGAACCAATGCATGAGGGCAACACTTCGGCTTCCTCCAGGGAAATCACACTGAACATAAAGATGCCAAGAAGGAGGCCATAGCTGAATACATAAAAATATTTACAGGTATTCTGAAATCAAAGTTGAATGGGAAAAACACATTTAAATTGATTAACAGCTACACCAATACGAGTCTCAGTGTATACTTTTGAAACTGTAAAATAGACTATACAACGGTTCTGGAAAGTAACTCTCATATAAAACCCATACAATATTAACAAAACATAAGGTCCATCACCTAAAGGCAGCCATAGCAATATTAACACTTCCATACCAAAAAAAGGAGGACTGGTGGACATTCTTAAGACAAATGACAAACAGGTTAAATTAGGCCTACAGAAATATTTCTGAAATAAGGATATAATATCACTTCACTGAGCAATAGTAAAAACTGATATTATGTATCCACCACTGAATTTGTCAGACGAAACCTATGAAAGTGATTTAGATGTAAGAATGTAATCAAACCCTCTATAGGCAATGGCCATGAGAAACTTGGCAACATTCACATGACCAGAGGCAGCGGTATGTTGACAAAGCAGTGTCTAACCCATGTATGAATGTCACGTGGACATTTTTTGATGGGAATAAAGATGATTATTGCCACCAAAAACCAACAAAGGGGCCCTCATACCAATCAATGTAGACAATGTAAGGAAAAGGTAGAAAGAACGTAACACATCAATGCAGGTTGTAGAAATTTAGAACCTACCAAACATCTAGTGAGACATAATCTGGTAGTCAGAATTATTTATCAGCAGTTCACTATTTTCATGAACTAACAGGTGACAAATCCTTGAACCAGAAATACAGAACTCAAAAGATCCTGGAAAACTCAACCAATAAACCATTATCACCCACTGAACTGTGACCCACAATTGTCTGGACATAAAACTGATTTATAAGAACTAAGAACAGTTTTTATTGTCGCCATTCCAAATTTTCAATCTCCAAGCTACGTGGAACAAAAAAAGCTTTCAAAGTATGGAGACTGGGCCAAGGAGACCAAAATTCTGCAGGAACAGGACAAGGCACTGTGTTTTCCTCTTTGTTACTGGATTTGTACCAAGAATGCTTTAATGAGGGGATAGGAGGAGGAAGAAGAGAAGGGATACAAAGAAAAGAAGGACCGAGGGGAAGTCACTAGGATCCTGAATGGATTTATGAATAACAAGTCACGCCAAGCTAACCACATTTCCTTTGCCTGACTGTTAATCAAATGATTAGTTAAATGATGTGTATTTGGATTTTAGCAAGAAATCTTACAATTCTCTTAATATCTTTGTGGATGAGATGGAACAATATGGACTAGAAGATAGTATAATTAGATGGCATTGTGTTTTTCTTGGAGCAGTTACTGATACAGAAGCAAGGGTAATCTGTTACTCTGGCAACTAAGAAAACTAGTGAAATGCCACTGGCGCTCACCAGACTTGCATTAAAAGGGGAATCCATTTTGGGGGCCCTTTCCTCCAAGACTTAATCTGATACAGACATGAATGATAATTAGCAATGGTCCTCATCTTCAGTTCTTCTAAGGCCTTGGTTTGCTATAAAAAATACTCTTCTATAAACCCCACTTGGATACGTTAGGATTATGTATGAGCTTTTTCTTTTCCCAGTATCACTGCTGATTTACTAAAAAAAAATCACACATTTAGAGAGGAATTTACCACTAAATGTTAAGAAATAAAGTGGCCAGGAGAAATAGATCACTTCCCCTTTTTCCTTATCAGAAAAATCCAATGTACCTAGCAATAAATTCAGATAGCCTCTGAGGTCCATCTGTCATTTGGAAAAGGAATTAGATTTATTCTGTGCAGTCCTAAAATGTGAATATAAAACCAGTGAGAGAAAGATGCAATATGAAGAACTTCACAATGACAAGAGATGTCAAAAAAATGCAATGGGTTGCCTCATGGGGCACACACATTCCCACCATTACAGGTATTTAGATAGAGGCAGGACAACTTTGTTGAGGCTGTCACAGGAGGGATTCATACTTTGGAGAGGAGCTGTACTAGATTACCTCTGAAGTTCCTTCTAACTCTGTTAAATCTATGATTCTGGGACATCTATCAGATTTTACCTGGTTTATGTACAACTTTGTCAATTTTGTGCTCCTCTTCTTCTTCTTCTTCTAAAAAGAAGCCTCCTCCCGTGTCAATTATTTTTGGTGCTGATTTCACATTAGTAATGCCTGAAAAAAGAAAATAAGATGTTAGTGTAGTTAAACTGCTAAGTAAACTTACAGACTGGCTTTCAACCAGACTGAACCAGCCTTTAACCTGTGGGTGGCTAGAGCTGAACAGAGCAGGCTAAAGACAGGAGGGTCAGGAATCAAAGAGAAGTTTAATTTCAAAGTGAGGAAAAGGGCTTGCAAGGAAGGACACATATGCCAGGGCCTCCCCCCCCCCAGTGGGGGTCCCCAAAGGCAGTGTGGGGAGATCTCAAAATTCATACCAAGCTACACAGAGAGGTGCAGCCCTGACAATGATGGGTAACAGCAATGAGACAACTTTGATCCACAGCAGGACTTCACGACCAGACCACGGCTAACTTGTCCAATGCTTGTCTGAGCCCAAAGAACACCCGATGCTGGTCAAAGCAATACAATAATTATGTGATTTTGCCAGAGGGGTGAGATCATCCAGAGGATGAGCACAAAGGATTGTTGTCATGCCAAGCTCTGGACACAGCTTGCTTGCTGGGCCTTAGCTTTGGAAAACAGGGTGTCTCCTAGTATCCAACACTGGCTTATAACAAAGTTACTCCAAATCTAAATTGAAGGACTTCATTTTAAAAGCCTCTTCCAACAGCTGGTTTCTATACTATAACATCAGACACTGCCTCGCTATATGACCTTGGCAAGTTGCTGGGCTTTAGTTTCTTCATCTATAAAATAATGGGATTAAGACTAGATGAGAGTCCCTTGGCCAGCAGGGAGATCAAATCAATCAATACTTAAAGAAATTAATTCAGGCTATTTACTGAAAGGTCAGATACTGAAGCTTAAATACTTTGGCTATATAAGAAGACTGGACTCATTGGGAAAGACCTTGATGTTGGGGAAAGACTTAAGGCAAAAGGAAAAGGGTATGGCAGAGGTTGAGATGGACAAACAATACCACGGAAACAACAAACATGAACTTTGACAGACTGTGAGAGATAGTGGAGGGCAGAAGGTCCTGGTATGCTATGATCCACGCAGTCACGAAGAGTCCAACATGACTAACAACAGGACTAGATGAGCTCTGTGGTCCCTCCTAACTCTAAAGTTCTAATCTAATCAAATCAGCATTAAGGGTTATATTTTGAAAGAATCTTTAATTCTATTTTTTCCATGATTTCTTATTATGAAGTGGGGGGGGGGAAAGAAGAAAGAAAGTAGATGAATACTCTGAGGTTTGGGTGCTGCTTCTTCATTCTCTCTTTCAACAAACACCAATTTGATGTTATTCAGTCTTTTTTCAGTCACGTCCAACTGTTCATGACCCTATCTGGGGATTTCTTGACAAAGATACTAGGCACTATGCATAAGTAGGACTAACAGTTGTCTTAGCTATGAATCTATTTCGACATTTTGTCTCATTTGTTTATCTGTTATTTGGAGTCAGAGGACCCGGGTCTGAATTCTGAATCTACCACTTATTACCTGTGTGTGGCCTTAGACAAGTCAATTCCCTTCTCTGAGGCTCAGTTTCTTCATATGTAAAATGAGTGTTGGATTAGAGGATCCAAGTTTCCTTCCATTTCAAAATCTGTGTGCCTACTCTTTATCTGTACCAGGTTACAAAAGTACCACGAAAAGCACATGATGTTCTAAACTTCCTCCCACCCACTGGGAATGTGTCCCATTGTTCACTCGCCATGTGGCTTTCAGGCAATGCATTTAATCTTTTGAACCCCATTTTTATCATCTTTAAAATGTGAGAAATATATGCCCTGTCAACCTCACAGAATTCTTATGAAGTTTAAATGGAAAGTGAACTTGAAAATACATAGAACATTAAAGCTGAAAGAGACTTTGAAACCTAGTCTAATCACTTCGTTTGAGAGATGAAGAAACGGGCCAAGAAGTCATTCTCAGCAGACTGGACACAGAACTAGGACCATGCTCTAACAATCACTTAAATAACCTCTAAGGTCCTTTTCCCTCCCAAGTCCTATCATCTTGTGATTTTTCTCCAAGGATCTGTGATTCCCTCACCATGGGCACTCTCACCACTGGCAAAGGTCACCACCCTTCTACAGTTCAATAGTCCGAGTTACTTTGGTCAAAATTCATTATCATACTCTGTCCAATCTGGCAATGAGCCCCTTCCAATTTCTTTAGGCCTGTCCACAAACAACTGACATTCAGTAGTCAGTCTATACTCAAAAACATTTCCACAGCCTTCAAGAACAAAGGTATCCCTCCATGCCATGGTAGGACACACCAGTAGAACTACTTTGATAGATTAAAAAAAACCAACTTCCACTAAAGAGATGAATCTTTATAAGGTAACATATAGTCAGTGTCAGATGTGGTTAAACAAATAAGTAAATAAATAAAGCCCACGTATGTAGATTTTACAGAAAGGAAAATCCTTAAGGGAAAGCTTTGTAAGTTTACCTTTGTAAGATACTGCTAGGTTCATATTTTCAAAACACTATACTATTTTTTCTTAAAGAGAGTCATTCGTCTATAAACATTACAGAAGAAGCAGAATGTCTTGGGAGGGTCTGCATTTCAAGAAAAGTAACCTTTTAACAAAAGTTTATGAATGAATAAACTTTGTCTAAACAAGGCCTGATTTTTTCCTTAGAAAAAATGATACCACCATATAACCACCACTACTATGTCAGCTTACATTCCAGTAACACTTTTTTAAGATTTATAAAATTCTTTACTTACATCTAAGAGTTGTTTTTTTTTACTTCACTCAAAATCTGAGAGAGGTTGTCAGTGTAAAAACTATACTATTACTTCCATAATAAACTTAGAAAATTGGGACTAGGGGCAGCTAGGTGGCGCAGTGGATAGAGCACTGGCCCTGAAATCACGAGGACCTCAGTTCAAATCTAGCCTCAGACCAAACACTTGACACTTACTAGCTGTGTGACCCTGGGCAAATCACTTGACCCCAAATGCCTAAAAAAAACACCACACAAAGAAAATAGGGACTAGACTTGGGATTTCATCATGAGGGGAAACACCTGGTGAGCAGCCTTCCTCTACTAATAAGGGTCAGCAAGTCCTTTGCAACTTAAGATCTTAGAAGACAGAGAGGTTAAGGGGTTTTCCCTGGATCACAGGAGGAGTGTGTGTCAGAGACAGAACTTGAACCCAAGTCTTCCTAGCTTTGAGGCCAGTTCTCCATCGACTTTGCTTGGCAGAGTGCCTAACACACAGTAGGCGCTTAATAAATGTTGATTGGCCCGCTTCTCCGAATAATACAGAGGAAATCTAAGACTCAAGGGTTAGTTAAGTAATTTAGGACCCAATAAATTCCCAGCTTGATCCTACCTCCTCATCTGACAAAAGAGGAAAGTGCTAAGCTGTCCAATCCCAGGTCCTCCGACTCTCAATGCCCTGCCTCCCCTCCCCTCCCAGTCATACACAGGGTCAGGATTCAAACCCTCCTTGACTGGGGTGGTTGTGTCAGGTCTACCACAATAATAACCAAAGGAGGAGGAAAAGAGGAAGAGGAAAGAAGGCATGCGTGTGGCGAGCTGGGAAGCTGTTCCGACCGCGGCTTGGCCAGAGCGGCTCAGACAAGGCTCAGCTGTCACCGGGTGTAGATGGGGGCGGGGCCACCCGGCTGCGCGCGCACCTGCTCCTCCTGCGCTCCCCAACGCTGCCCCCACCGCCGGGTACGGCCTGGCCGCCAGCCGGGCCTGGCGCAGCATCAGCGCTCGCTGCCGATTTCGCTCGATCTTCGCCCGCACCGCCGCGGGGAACTCAGCCAGCTCCCTGGACTCCCCTGGTCCCACCTCCGCCTCCATGGCCTCCTCAGACAGGCACTCGGTTTCACGGTCCGGGGACCGCGCACTTCAGCCCTCACGGGCCCCAGCTTGAAAAATGAATGTCGCCGTCTTTCAAAGCCGGCCTCCAGATCCCCCTCCCCAAACCTTTGCTGAGAAGATGCAAATTGGCTCAAGGGGGAGAGAGAGGGAATGGCGCAACGGACCTACTGCGCCTGCGTTCCCGGGGATGGGGCGGGGAGTACAGTGAGCCTACTGCGCATGTCACATGTGACGAAATACGGGGAGCGTAGTGCGCTTGCGCACATGCTGTTGCTGTTTGTCGTTCGTTTTGGAAAAAGACCATGATGTCATGGAGGTGATGCTATGACATGCAAGTGAATTGGATCTAAGCGAGGGAGGGCTGTGCAAAGTCACCAGCCTCACTCTCTCCTCCGGAGCCATCAGTGTCCAGTGGGCAGATACACATCAGGACGACTGGAGATGGCCCCCTGCGCCCATGCAATGTGGGCTGGGGAACCTTAAGTGGCCAGCGTGGGGGAGGGAAGCGAAGTGACCCGTGCACATTTCCAGTAGGTGGGTGGGGGAGAGGTACAGAGGTTCAGTGCGCCTGCGCTCCTGGAGGGGGCGGGGAGCCGGCCACAGCTCCGTGAGCCTCTAGCGCCAGCTTTCACTCTCTGCCCTCATCCTTCCTAAGGGGTTGGGCTGGAAGAAAATGCAAAAAGGCGAGAATTAAAATAACAATAACAAGTTTTTCATTTTAACACATATATTCCTCTCCATCTCCCTTATCCACATTCTTGTGCCAAAAAATAAAAGGGAAGGGGCTGGGGAGCTGTTGAGCAAAACTAACGGACGCATTAGAGTCTGGCAGTAAGTAGTGTTTCACACCTCCGGTTTTCCCCTTCAACAAAAAAGAGATCGCAGACTTAGAGCTGGAAGGAACCTAAATCGATCACCTAGCGATGATGGAACTGAGCCCAAGGCCACACAGATTTAAAAGGGCGAATCTGGGATTTGATCCCAAGTCTTCTGGCAAGAAATTGTCTTTTCTGTTGCTCCTGGGGCCCTCTCCGAGGGAGGTACAATTTATCACTTATCCTCTCGGGCCAAAAACTTGGTCATTATAATCATATGGCCAACAATTTTATTTTTGTTCTTCCCATTGACATCGTTGCAGTTATTGTGTATATTCTTTTCCTAGTTCTTCATCAGTTCATATAAATCTCCCCACACTTCTTTGATTTGGAAGTTTTTAAAACTTTGATTTCCTAAATAAAATGATACCTAACAATTGTTATTAATAAGCACGTTAATCAGTACAATACTTAGCACATAACAAGTGCCTATTCATTCAAAAAAGCAAAAGTTTAAAGTACAGTAGACAATCTCAAGTTGTCCCGCAATAATCATCCCACAAAGTCTCTTCAAACTATGAAATCAAGTATGAGCAATTCTCCTCATGGAGAGTTTCAAACTTAACTCTTTAATGCTGATGTAGGTTAAAACATGTCTATGCCTTCCCTCAAATGTTACCTGTTGTAAGAGGCCTTTCCTGATGTCCTGAGTTATTTGTGCTTCCCCCAGCTATGATGGGGATATATTTTATGTACACGGTTTTTGCTTTACAGTAAATTTGCAAATTCCACTCCTTGGCGGGCTGACCATCAACCTTAACTTTGGCTCCCGATTCCAGCTGGCTGCAGGGAATCCACTTGCCAACAGTCCTGTTTTGGGGGTGGGTGGTGGGGTGGTGGGTGGCCAGCCATTGAAGCAGCTGGTCAGAGAGGGGGATTAGGTTAACATAGAACCCTTCAAGGGAAGGGAGAGGTATTCAGGACCCTCCACATATGTTAATTTAAGGAATTCAGATTTTAGGAGTATATAGTGGGGAAATACTACAAGTCTTAAGCAAAGCCAGAGGTAAGAAATTGCTTTTCTTCTGGTATTTGGTTCTTCTTCTAGCTAACAGTGCCTACTTGTTGACTCATGGTAGCCCACATTCTGATAGTGATTCTAGCTCAAGACAGGATGTCCCTATCTTGAAGCCCAAAGGATCACTCCTCCTTTAGCAACTTTGGGCTCAGGAGTATCAGGGTCCATTATGGCTGCTTGTACTCCAAACCTGCTATCAAAACTCTTTACAAAGTTTCTGACTTTTTGTGATTAGATTCTTTGACTTGTACCCCTAACCCTCTTTGTTCCTTAGCTCTCCAGGCTAGGTCTTAGCCAAGTTTCTAAAGCTGACCTCTTGCTTACCTGCAATTCTGTTTTCTTTCGTACTTTTGCCAATTTCTTTGGACATGATCACTGGCCAGGCTGACTTAATTACCTACTAGTTTAAGTCCTGGTCCTTGTCCGCCAGAGACTTGTCCTATTCTGGTACTATCCCAAGTCTCAGTGCATTTTAGGAAAGTCAATCTAGTGATGATGAGCTGTTTGGATTGGTGGCATGGGCACTAAAATAGGTGGATCAGTTTAATAGTTGTTTAATTATTCTCATGTGTGAGGTGATAAAGTGATAAATATAATGCCCATGTGAATGCAAAGGAATTGATAAATGTGAAAAGCGTTATGATAGAAAATTAGGCAGGACTTAATGATTAATTGGATATAGAAAACAAGGAAGGTGGTGGTGTAAAAGATGATTTACTAAGTTGTAAATTTAGGCCTATGTGATTAGGAAAATGGTGATATCAGGAACAAATAAGGAAGTCAAGAAGGAGAGGAGACTTGAGAGGAAAACACTGATTTTAGACTTGTTGACTTTAAAATGATGGTGGTGAGGTGGTATAGATACTGAGAAAAGGCATTATGGGATTTAGATGGGATGGGGCCTCAGAAAATCATCTAACATCCAACCTACTCTTGTAGTCTGCCTATTATCTGCTGCTAAAATCCCTGGCTCTACTCACCCAGACTCACAGATCTACTCAGCCCAGATTTCTTCCAATTACCCATAATTAGGGTCTTCTTGGATCACCTTACACTTGTCTGGGATGGAAGTGACTGTAGTCAAGATAAATTATGAAGAACAAACCAAGAAGCTGCTAGAATTAATGAAAAGTTGAGACAAAAACTCAGACTCCTACTTTACCCTGAGGCCTTTACGCAAGACCTGGACATCTCACCCTCGATTATGGTACTCAGGCCCTGGTACTGATAATGAGGACCTTCCAGAAGACTAGCCCTGTAAGCCCCATTCTTTCTCACTTTGTGATATCCTTATAGCTCAGGGCATATAACACCTAATTATTTTAAGTCATGCAAATCAATCAAGCATTTATTCAGTGCCACTGGGGATGCAAAGAAAAAAATAAAACAGTCCCTGTTCTCAAGAAGCTTATAGTCTACAGAGGGAAATGACAGACACACACATAATAAGTATATATGATACATACACAGGAAGGAAAACTAGATAATCTGAGTAGGACAGGCTCTAGTGGTGTGATAAGGGCCTCATCTAGTAGGTGCTACTTGAACTGAGCTATGACACTAACTAGCTGAGGTGAATTAAGCACAACAATATGGTTGGGCCCCTTAGTAGCTAAGTGAACTGATTTAGAGGTACCATCACACTGTTGGGAAAAATGAGTGAGTAGAAATAGACCTTTCAACCTCTAAAAAGGGCTTAGTTGACTGCACATGACCTTATATTTAGAGCTAGAATGAGTGAAAAAGCATTTACTAAGTGCTGGGCCAAATACTATTTATTATTATTGTTAACAGTGTGCGCCGAGGCATCTCAAAGTATAATTGGAGGAGACAAAGATCTAGAAAGGTCTAGAAGTCCTTTGGTTAGGGTAGGGGCGCAGGAAGTGGTCTTAAGGTTACATTAGCAGATCAGATGATAGTGACAGAGGTCTGGGGGGCTTCCAGGGGAGGTGCACATTGCTGACAGGGCAGATGTCAAGGCGTAGTGCTCATCCCATCATAAGGAACAGAGCAGGTCATTCCCATCTAATGCAAAGTATGTGAGTAGTCAGGCAGTGCAGCTACTGTCATCCTGAAGCTCAGGACCTTGGCAGAAAGGGAACGGTGCCCCCCAGTGGTGATAGGGAGATAATGCAAGTATATTTAACCTTTATCTCTTTTTTTAACAGCCCTCACAACACAAAAACAAGATTCACTCTGGGGATTCCTTGCTTCACTGGCTCATAATCTGCATCAAACAAACAAAAGGGGGAAATTACTAATGAATACCAACTAGTATGTGAACAGCAATTCCCCTGGAAAGCATGTAATTCAAATAATTAAATAATCCAATCCAATGAATATTTACTAAGTTCCTGCTATGTGCAAAGTACAAGAAATACAAAGACAGAAACAAAAAACCAGCTTGCTTTCTATTGGTGTAATACAGTATGTAAAAAGATAAGTGTATGGATATGGATATGAAAATGGATATGGATATGGACTTGGTACTCTTAGTCCCAAGGTCCAACTAAGGTCCTCAACTCCAAGCTCTTCAGGTTTGAGATTATCAGATATATGTGTGTACACATACCACATATGTATATTGTTGTTGTCTGTCCTTTGTTCTCAAAGAGGACCAGTGACATCATGAGGGTGATGTCTTGACTTTTGAGTGAATTGAATTGAATTGAGGCAGAGCTGAGCAAAATTGTTAGCCTCACTCTCTCCTCCAGAGTCATTGGAGTCCAGTGGCAAGACAAAAAGTCAAGACTGGTGATGACCCAGGACACGGTGGGTGACCTTGGCATTTCTAAATTAAGGCCTTTTCCAGATCTCACAATATATATGTATATTTACATGTATTTTCATATACACAGATGGACACTAAGCTTTACATATATATAACTAAGACAATTGTTATTTTTGTTGTTGGTCCTTTGTTTTCGAAAAGGACCACGAAATCAGAGAGGTGATGCTATGACATGCAAGTGAATTGGACATTTATACATACATACATACATACATACATACATACATATATATATATAACACTAAGACAATAAACTACACATACACATACATGACTCTAAAGCAATATGTGTATATATGTGTGTATATAGATATGTGTATGCTCTCCTCAAATAATTATATATGTGATTCTTGGTTGCCTGGGTAAAGACAGCCATGAAGAGCTTTTGCAAAAGCTTAGTGTCATTTTTAATCTTGAAAATTTCATTTTAGACTTACATTTCAAAGAATGTCTACTAAATTGTTCTTACCTTTTGACCCAATGATTCCACCACTAGAACTATGTCCTAGGAAGGTTT